TTCCACCTCTGAAGTGCACCCTAGCCAGCTCTGCTTGCCATGTGTGAGGCTCTGAGGTTAACTCTAAGAGCCTCAAAAAGGACTTGTCAGGCTTTGTTTTGAGAGCCAGTGTCTCAGCCAGGCAGTGGTGGCACAAGACTTTAATCCCATTACTCGGGTGGCAGATTTCTGAGTTCGAGGCCAACCTGGTCTACAAAGTGAGTTCCAGGACAGCCAGGACTGTTCCACAGAGAAACTATGTCTCAAAAAGCAAAACAAAGCAGAAGAAAGAAAAGAAAAATGAAGACACTGTCCCTGTATAACTCTGACTAGCCTTTAACTCGATCTATAAACCAGGTTGGCCTGGAACTCACAGATATCTGCTTGCCATTGCCTTCCAAGTGCTGGAATTAGCAGAATGCCTCACCAGCCTTGCGAAAAATAAGTAACATATACCATCTATATTTTCAGGCAGGGTCTTAAGTATCTCACTGTGTAGCTGAGAATGACACTGAATCCTGATCCTCCTGCCTCCACGCTTGGTGTATACAGTGCTGGGGAGTGAACTCATGGCTTTCTGCATGCTGGGAAGGAAGGATTCTGTTAACTGAGCTACAGACCCAGCCACAAGAGACATTTTGGTTTTTTGAGACAGGGTTTCTCTGTGTAGCCCTGACTGTCCTGGAACTCACTCTGTAGACCAGGCTGACCTCAAACTCATAGAGATCCACCAACTCTGCCTCCTGAGCGCTGGAATTAAAGTTTAATAGTGTACATCACCATGCCTGGCTTAAAGATTTAAGTGTGCATGCGTGAGTGCATGCATGAGTGTGTGTGTGTGTGTGTGTGTGTGTGTCTTCTGGAACTGTAGTTACAGGGAGTCCTGAGCTGACTGACTTGAGTGCTGGGACCTGTGATTGGGTCCTCGGAAGAGCAGCCAGTGTTCTTAACCACTGGGTCAACCCTCCAGCCTCAAGAATAATTGTTCTTTATAGTGGAATGGTTAAAGACATGTCAGCACCATTTAAACTTCATTTATTTCTACTTTGTGTGCTTTGATGTTTTGCCTGTGTGTATGTGTGAAGTTGCCAGATCTCTCTAGCCCCCCAAGAAGAATTCTTTAAACTTGGAGATCTCTCGTTCTTGGGGGTTTCTCTCACTTCTCGATTTCTTACTTTTCTGCGGTAATTAATAACAAAGCCTGCCTCTGCTTTGTATAAACAGTGGGAGGGAGGGCTGGAGAGATGGTTCAGTGGTTAAGAGCACTGCTGTTCTTACAGAGGACACAGGCTGGGGTCTTAGCACCTACATGGTGCCTCACAATTGCCTGTAACTCCAGTTCCAGGGGATTTGACACCCTCTTCTGACCTCTGTGGGCACAAGACACACATGCTGGTAAAACATGAAATAAGTAAATCTCAAAAGAATTTATTTTATTTCATGTGCAGTGGTGCATGTATGTCAGGTCCCCTGGAACTAGACAGTTGTAAGCTGAGCTGCCAGTGTGGGTGCTGGGAATTGAACCCAGGTTCAGGTCCTCAGGAAGAGAAGCCAGTGCTCTTAACCTCTGGGCCATCTCTCCAGCTCCCAACTTTTGTTTTTGTGTGTGTGTGTTTTAAGTAAAGCTGGAACCTGAGTGTTTGTAATCCTAGCATTTGGAAGACTGAGGCAGGAGAGTCATTAGTTTCAGACCAGCCTGAGCTACAAAATCCATCTTAAAATTAATAAAATAAAATACAAAGTGAATTTAAAAAGAAATAAGAAATAAAAAGAATCTAAGTGCATGCCTTTAATCCCACCACTCGGGAGGCAGAGGCAGGCGAATCTCTGTGAGTTCGAGACCAGCCTGGTCTACAAGAGCTAGTTCCAGGACGGTCTCCAAAGCCACAGAGAAACTCTGTCTCAAAAAACCAGGGAAAAAATTTTTTTTAAAAATGTATATATATATAAACAGGCTTGGCTAGATAAGCCACTGTTGTTCTGTGTCACCATCCCCCAAGCATCCTTGAGTCTGCAGGGGCCTCCCTTCCCCTCTGCCTTGTTTTCCCTTCCTCCCTCCTCCTTCCCCCACCTCTCCTCCTCCCCCTCTCCTCTCCCCCTCTCCCCCTCCTCCTTCTCTCTCCTCCCCCTCTCCTTTCCCCCCTCTCCTCCTCTCCCCTTCTCATTCCTCCCACCCCTCCCCCTCCTTCCTCCTTCCATCCTCACTAACCCTGTAAAGATGGGGGGTTTTCCCTGATCTCCCCTGCACCCCATGTCCCATGACCCTTGTTGAGTGACTGCTCACAATATCTGTTAATATGGAAATACTCAAGCCATTATGGAAAACTCTAGAAAACAGTTAAGAGACAACAGTTAGCCTTTCACCACCAGGGTTCCAGAAACTTTGAGAACTTCTGTTTCTCCATTTGCACATTTTTCAACCACAAGGAGGTCAGTTTCTATCCCATATTATTTCCTAAAACAGAAGGCGGGGTATTAGGAGAAATTGTGGGGGATTTTTTTGTTTTGTTTTTGTTGTTTGTTTTTTGGTTTTTCGAGACAGGGTTTCTCTGTGGCTTTGGAGGCTGTCCTGGAACTCTCTCTGTAGACCAGGCTGGCCTGGAACACACAGAGATCCGCCTGCCTCTGCCTCCCGAGTGCTTGGATTAAAGGCATGCGCCACCAATGCCAGGCTTTGTTTTGTTTTTGACATACTGTCTCATGTTGTGTATTCTGGCCATGGGCCAGATACCCAGGGATTACCTGCACTCCTGGCTTCCCAAGGCCTGTGCCACTGCGCCTTAGGAGGTGTTTGACCTGCACTTGTTCAGAAGCTATGGGTGTCCGAGAGAGGTAGGTGTCAGCCCTGTATCACTGTAAGTGTCCAGGCAGAGGGCCACAGTAAATCTGGGGTGGGCAAGGCAATCTATCTTCTTCCTCAGACTCAAAGGGTAAGGGTGTGTACCTCCTAGAGACCCCAGACTACACAAGATAGCTGTGGTACCCTGTTTGGACTTGGAGTACTGTGGGAGAGGCGTCTGGGCTGCTCACAGCTGGGAAAGTGGCACAGTTTTTAACATCTTCCTGGCCTGAAGTAGTGGTACCTGCCTGTTATCCTGGGAGGAGGAAGAGGCACCAAGAGCTCCAGGTTCTCATAGGAGCCTTCCTCAGCTACACAGTGAGTGCAAGGTCAGTCTGGGCTACATGAAATTCTGCCTCAAAAACCCCAAACAGGATGTAGCTCACTTGGTAGACTGCTTGCCTGGAATGAATGAAGCCTGGGATTTGATCCTCAGCACCTCATAAGTGTGTGTGTGGCCACACATGCTTTGGGATGTGGAGGCAGGAAGATGAGGCGTTCAAGTCATCCTCAGCTACATCGTGAGTCTGAGTACAGTCTGTGCTGAGGAGACATTATCACACACCACTCACACATACATAGCACACATCACACACATACCACACCACACCCACATACCACACCATACACACACACACACCACACCACACTCACATACACAAGCATAAATACACCACACCCACATGCCACACACCACACTCACACACACAAACCACAAGCACACACACCCCAAAAGCACACACCACACATACATATATATACAAACACCATAACACACACACACACACCATATCATACACATATACACCACATACACAACACACACACACCACAACACACACATGCACACCCACATACCACACACACACACACACACACACACCACAAGCACACATACCCCAAAAGCACACACCACACATACATATATATACAAACACCATAACACACACATACACACCATATCATACACATATACACCACATACACAACACACACACACCACAACACACACATGCACACCCACATACCACACACACACACACACACCACAAGCACACATACCCCAAAAGCACACACCACACATACATATATATACAAACACCATAACACACACATACACACCATATCATACACATATACACCACATACACAACACACACACACCACAACACACACATGCACACCCACATACCACACACACACACACACACCACAAGCACACATACCCCAAAAGCACACACCACACATACATATATATACAAACACCATAACACACACATACACACCATATCATACACATATACACCACATACACAACACACACACACACCACAACACACACATACACACCATATCATACACATATACACCACATACACAACACACACACACACCACAACACACACATGCACACCCACATACCACACACACACACACACACACACACACCAGGTGCATGCACGCACAAGTCAGTTTTCTGGGTATCAAATTATCAAGTCTTGAACTTAAGTCTGCATCATGGGGCCAAAGTCAAGGAAGGTGTAGGAATTGTCATGGTTGTTTTTTTGTTTTTTTGTTTTTTGTTTTTTTGTCAATTTGATCTAAGCTAGAAACCTAGAAACTTCAGTTAAGGAAATACCTTAATGGATTGGTTGACTGTAGATGGATTTGTAGTGCATTCTTTTGACTTATGATAGATGTGGTTGGGTCCAGACCATGGGGTGGGGTAGTACCGACCCTGGGCAAATGGTCATGAGTTGTGTAAGAAGGCAAGCTGAGCCAGGCAGCAGCGGCATACCGCTTTAATCCTGGCGCTCGGGAGGGGAGGCAGGCAGCAGCGGCATACCGCTTTAATCCTGGCGCTCGGGAGGGGAGGCAGGCAGCAGCGGCATACCGCTTTAATCCTGGCGCTCGGGAGGGGAGGCAGGCAGCAGCGGCATACCGCTTTAATCCTGGCGCTCGGGAGGGGAGGCAGAGGCAGAGGCAGAGGCAGGCGGATCTCTGTGAGTTCAAGGCCAGCCTGGTCTGCAGAGCGAGCTCTAGGGCAGGCTCCAAAGCCACAGAGAAACCCTGTCTCAAGAAAGAAAGGGAGAGAGGGGGAGGGAGGGGGGAGGGAGTGAGAGTGCGAGCGAGCAAGAGCTGCATTCCTTTATGGCTTCTGTATCAGTTCTAACCTCCAGGTTCTGGTCTTGAGTTCTGCTCAGACTTCCCTCGTGATGGAGTGCGATCGCAGAGCTGTAAGCTGAAGTGAACCCTTTCCTCCCAAGTTGCTTTTGGCCGTGGCATTTTATCCCAACAGTAGAAAATTTAACTAAGAAAGGATTCAACTTTAGAGATGAGGAGACAGGTCAGGGGGATAAAGTCCTAACGCCGGAGTTCGGATGTTAGCGATCACCACAGGGTTCTTACCAAGACTCGGGGGACGTGGTCGCGTGGGCGTGGTCTCGTCACTGGGCGTGGTTTCCGGGCTCTCCACTGCAAGCTGCAGACTCGGACTTCGGAGCACTAACTAGCCTAGGACCATGGAGCCGGTGCCGCTGCAGGACTTCGCCAGCCGCCTGGACCCCGCCTCCCTTCCGCGCGTGCTGCGGGTCTGCTCTGGAGTCTACCTTGAAGGTGAGCGGGCCGTGGGGGAAGCAGCCAGGCACGGTGGATCATGCCTGTAATCTCAACACTGAGGATCTGAGGCAGGAGCATTGGCACAGATTTGAGGCTACTGGCCTATATGGGTTCAAGGTCAGTCTGGTAGAGTGAGACCCTGAGGAAGTTGGAGTTTGAATTAGAATGCTGCCTCTGCTCCGAGCTTTATGAGTTCGCACTAAAAACCACCTCCTTGCACCTCGGCTTTTGTCCTGTGGGTGATGAGAAGTCGGTGAGTTAGCACAGAAACTGGGTGGCAGCGAGGCAAGGACAAATGAACAACCTAGGAAGCCGCGCCTCAAGCAACAAGAACAATTATAACAATAAAAGGATACATTAGTAAATGGAGATCACTTGTCCACTGTGCTAGGCGGGCTCTAGGGCGTTCGCCATAGTTTTTGGTTTGTTTGCTTGTAAGAGAGAGAGGGTCTTGTTTTGTAGCCCAGGCTGGCCTCAGACTTGCAGTGATCCTTTTGCCTCTGCCTGAAATGGCCATGCCTGGGTCGCTGTTGCTCCTTTTTCTTTCTCTCTCTTTCCCGTTTTTTCTCCCTTCTCTAGTCTTCTCTCCCTTTCTTCAGGGTCCAACCCAGGGCCCTGAGCTCCAACCACTGAGTTCATTATTTAAGCCCGGGCTCAGCCCTCCCACTGGGCTCTGGCTCCTTGCCTTAGTCTCCCTGGCTGTCTTGCTAGAGGTCGGTCATCTCCTCATTTCTGTTTGAATGGTCCTTCCTCCAGGGAGCCTCCTTGACTTGCACACCTGCTTTTCCTCACAGAGTTCCTGGTTCATAGCAGAGAAGAGATGGGCATATCAGGGACACAGTGCCCAGTTATGGCTCAAAACAGCAAGTGACCAAGGACTGACCACTTGGGTAGGGGAGGAGGCGAAGGGATGTAGTGGATGAGAGACCCCCTTGGCTGCTCTGTGGAGGGAGGAGCCATATCCCCCAGTGAAAAGAGGGCGGCAGAGAAGAGAGTGAAGGTAGATTCGGGGATGCAGGCTCCTTCCTCTGAGAACAAGCCTCTGGTGAGAGCCTGTCTGACCCTGCTCTCCAGAGTGAGGGAAGCCGGCACTGCCACAGCAGCTGCCAGCAAGGGGTTCTGATGGCCGAGTGGACTCAGGAGGGTCCACACCTCACAGTGCGTCTTCGGGATCCACTGAAATCTGATGGGTCCCTGACATAGTCATCTGAGGTCTGTTTGTCCTTTCTCCAGTCTAGAACGTCCTCCCAGTACCCCTTACTCACCTCTGACACAATACTCGAGTTTCCTCATCCGGGCTGACGTGGGGTGGTGGGAAGTGGCACAAGTTGGGGTGATGTGACCAGAGACATGTCACGGGCTGTGGATATGCAAATGAGGTTACGTGGGAGGTAGATGGCCACAGGGGCCGGGTAGGCAAAATGTGGTAAGTAGCAGACCCTGTGGTTAGGAATTCCAGGTGTGGAGGACTTGACACCCCAAGTTCCTCCTCCTGCCGCCCTCTCCCTCTTCCAACTCCCACATTCACACCATGCTGGAGACAGGTCCTGCATGTATATCCTAGACCAGCAATCTAACACCAAGCTAACTAACATCCTTAATCCGTCTTTGGTTTAAGACAAGCTCTTCTTGTGTAATTCAGACTTCTCCTGCCTAAGTTTCCTGAATGGTGTGGTTGCTGACGTGTTTCTCCACCGTGGGTCTTATGAACTTTTGTTTACATTTACTTACCGTATGTCGGGGAGCACATGTGTGTCACGGTGTGCATGTGAAGGTCAGAGGACAACTTTTGGGAGTCAATTTTCTTCCACTACCTGGGACTTTGGAATGAAGTAGTCTCTACCTGCCAATATCTTCCTGTTTTTTGGTATTTTTGAGGCAGGGTTTCATGTAGCCCAGGCTGGCCTAGAGCTCTCTATTTAGCCCAGGATATCCCGAGTTCTTGTTTTTTTTTTTTTGTTTGTTTGTTTTTTGTTTTTTCGAGACAGGGTTTCTCTGTAGCTTTGGAGGCTGTCCTGGAACTCACTTTGTAGACCAGGCTGGCCTCGAACTCACAGAGATCCGCCTGCCTCTGCCTCCCGAGTGCTGGGTTTAAAGGCGTGCGCCACCAACGCCCGGCCTGTCCCGAGTTCTTGATCTTCCTGTTTACTGATCATTTGGAGGGACTGACACCACTTCTCTGAGCTGTCATTTTTAGGAAAGAGAAACTGTCACTATTTATTTAGCAAAGGGAAATTGCTGGCCCCTGTTCCCCAAAGGGCAGTCATGCATCTTCAGGGCATCGAAGCATCAGTAGAAGTTGATGGAGGCAGGGTTGGTGTATACAACCCGGTGGCTAATTCAAGGCCAGGTATATATAGTCTCCCCTGCCGGAAGGTCCGCACCCTGACATTGTATCAACTGTGGGCTTGGAGCGGGGTTTACAGCAGCCCCGCTGGGGACGTCCTGGGGACGTGGCTGTCAGGTGGCCTCAAGGCCCTGCCAGCTACAGTTTCCCATCCTCTACCAGCTGGATGGGGACCGCGCCCATGCTGCACTGTGAGATCTTCCAGCGTTCTCCACGGCTTAGCCCTTTGCATCAGTCAAGTGGGCTGCTGAACCCAGAGGTGGCTCAGAACCTCAACCTCCCCCACTTCCTCTAAGAGGAACTCACTGGGCTGGAAAGCTGGCTGGTGGGCAGGGTGGTGGGGTGGTCACTGCCAACACTGCCAACCTGAATTCAATCGTGGGTCTCCCTGGAAGGAGAGAACTCCTCCCAAGAGTTGCCCTGACTTCTACACCCATGCAGTGGAATGTACTCAAGACAAGCCGAAAAGTTTGAAAAAAAAACAAACAAAAAGTTAAAAAGCAACTCATCTGGACTGGGGGGGTGTGGCTCAGTTGGTAGAGTGCTCACCTATCGTGCATGAACCCCTAGATTTGATTCCCAGTGTTGCAAAGAACCCGGCATGGTGGCACACCACTTGCCTTTTGAGTATTGGAAGGTAGAGGCAGGAGGAACAGAAAGTTCGATGTCATCTTTGATATAGAGTTCCCAGGCCAACCTGAAGTACAGGAGAGCTGTTTCATAAATAAATAAAGGCATGCAACTCACTCATCTGAAGTAGAAAGCAGGGTGTTGGACGAACTAGGTACCCACCTGGCCCTCTGTATCTACATGGAGTATACTTACTGCGAGCCTGATAGGGAGATGGGATTTACAGGGCTATTTGCTGTTTCGTGGGTGGAAAACACCCTCAGAGGCTGCAGTGATGCTGAGAATGGACCAGCCCTGGCTGCACTTGGGAAGAACGGGGGCCACCAGGGCTGTGTCTCACGGTCAGTGGAGAGGTCGTAAGCTGTCTAAGGATAGCCAGTAGAGCCTGCTGCCCTTCTGCTGTTGTGTTTTCTTTTACTCTAGCCCCATCTTAGAATGCCAAAATGTAGGCGGTTTTTGTTTGTTTTGTTTTTTATTCTTAATTCTTTGCTCTTTGACTCAGGTCTTTTGAGGACCCACCACCCAGCTCCCAAATAAATCACACACAGAGTTGTATTCTTTTTTTTAAGATTTTATTTATTTATTATGTATACAACATTTTGCACACCAGAAGAGGGCACCAGATCTCATAACAGATGGTTGTGAGTCACCGTGTGGTTGCTGGGAATTGAACTCAGGACCTCTGGAAGAGCAGTTAGTGCTCTTAACCTCTGAGCCATCTCTCCAGCCCCAGAGTTGTATTCTTATTTATGAAAGCCTGGCCTTATCTTGGTTTGTTTCTTCCCAGCTTTTCTTTTTTTTTTTTTTTTTTTTTTTGGTTTTTCGAGACAGGGTTTCTCTGTATTGTTTTGGAGGCTGTCCTGGAACTCACTCTGTAGACCAGGCTGGCCTCGAACTCACAGAGATCCGCCTGCCTCTGCCTCCCGAGTGCTCTTCCCAGCTTTTCTTTTTCCTTCTTTCTTTCTTTCTTTGTTTTTTTTTGGGGGGGTTGTCTTGTTTTGTTTTGTTTTTGTTTTTGTTTTTTGAGACAGGGTTTCTCTGTATCGTTTTGGAGCCTGTCCTGGAAATTGCTCGGTAGGCCAGGCTGGCCTCGAACTCACAGAGATCCGCCTGCCTCTGCCTCCCAAGTGCTGGGATTAAAGGCATGCGCCACCAACACCCGGCTTTTCCCAGATTTTCTAAACTTAAATTATCCCAACTACCTTTTGCTTCTGGGATTTTCCTTTTCTTCTACATATCTTACTTTCACTCTTACTCTGTGATGTATTTCCTGTTTACTCAGGTAATACTATACCCTTCTGGGGTCTTTGGAGTTAAAGACTAGATAGTTATAGTCGCAGCTCTTCCTAGTTATGATAGAAAGTAAATTAGGTGTAAAACATTGGATTCAGTAAGATAGGATAGATAATGCAGTATGGTCTTTGAATGTGCTAACTACAAGAGGACTGACTATTGTAAATGAGCCAGGCGTTGGTGGCGCACGCCTTTAGTCCCAGCACTTGGGAGGTAGAGGCAGGTGGATCTCTGTGAGTTCGAGACCAGCCTGGACTACCAAGCGAGTTCCAGGACAACCTCCAAAGCCACAGAGAAACCCTGTCTCGAAAAACCAAAAATAAATAAATAAATAAATAAAATACCTGATGGTCTAATAAAGCACTGAACAGCCAATAGCGAGGCAGGAGAAAGGATGAGCAGGGTGATAGGCAGAGAGTATAAACAAAAGGAAGAGACTAAGTGAGAGGAGCTAGGTAGATGCTAACCAGCTCACCCAGTCCAGCCACAAAGTAAGAGTGACAGTAAGATGTACAGAAGTAAGAAAAGGGAAAAGCCCAGAGGCAAAAGGTAATCGGGATCATTTAAGTTTAGAAAAGCTGGGAGTGTGTGTCTCTACAGGTTCCGTCTACGAACTTTTTGGGAGTGAGTGTTGCCTCTCCACGGGGGACCTGATCAAGGTCACCCATGTTCATCTTCAGAAGGTAGTCTGTGAAAACCCAGAGACGGGTCAGACCTTGGAGCTCAACCCCAACTTCACAGGTAAGGTGTGCACCTCTGCCTCCCCACCTGTCCTGGTATCCTGTAATATATCTTCAGTCACTTGTGGGTGGGTTTGCCTCTTCTAGTGTCGTTCCGTTCCTCTGGCTTTGCATATAAGGGTGACATATCTACTGTTTATGTAGCTGCAAGGCCAAGGACACATTCAGGGTGCATCCTTGAGGATGCCCTGAACCTTGTGGAGTGAATTCTACTTGGTCTTAATAAAAACAAAAACCTGGAGTCAGATATTGGGGTAAATGCTGAAAGATCAGAGAAATAAAGGAGCTGGCCACTAGAGAGACTTCTCACCTCTACTGAATCCTCATACGGAAGGGGTTAAGCTCCTGTCTCTACAAATCCCCAGACTGAATGGGCCAGAGATCCTGCCTCCACCCACCTTGTATTCCTCCTCCCCTCCCGAGTGCTGGGATTAAAGATGTTCGCCACACTGCCTGGCCTCTGTGGTTAACTAGTGACTAGCTCCACCTCTGATCTTCAGGCAAACTTTGTTGGAGCACAAACAAAATGTCACCACAAAGCCTGGCATGACCCTGCCGTCTTCTGATCACATCTGCCTGCAGGTCTTCAGGTTTTGATCTCTGTTTGCTCATACATTCATTCTTCAAACATCTAATGACACCCATGTGTGCCAGGCCCAATGGGAAGCTGGGTGTGGACTCAGGATGGACTAGACTGTTCTGGAGAAAGGCAAGGGTTCATGAAGCAGGTACCAGCTCTGCATGGGGTGACCTGCCCTCCAGGGTCTACAGATCCAGGAGCAGGAGGCCCCAAGACAAGGGAGTTGACATGTGCCCATTCGGTGCCTAAGAAATCTCAAGGGAAACAGGTTGGTGGCACATTCCTATTCCTGGATTTTAGCATAGGGGAGGTAGAGGCTAAATAAAGATCAGGAATTTGAGGCCAACCTTAGCTACCTAGCAAGTCTAGGATGCATGAGACACTGTCTCAAAAAGGGTCAAAGCCTGAAGATACAGCTCAGTTGATAGAATGTTTCTCTAGTATATGTGAGGTCCTGGGTCCTATCCCCAGCATTGTATAAACCAGCTGTGGTAGTGGCACATGCCTGAATCCCAGAATTTAGACGGCAGAGGCAGGAAGAGCACAAGTAGGTCTCATGCCTGGGAAATGATCAGCAGCAGACACTTGCTGCCTCCCCTGATGATTCAAGTTCAATTCCCGGGACCTACATGGTAGGAGAGAGTGACTCCTACAAGTAATCCCCATGCGACCTCCACGAACGGGCTGTAGCATACACATGCATACATACATCTGACCTCCACGCATGTGCCATAGATGTACATGCATACATATATACACTAGATAAATGTGATTCCTTTTATTTTATTTCATTTTGTTGAGACAAGGTCTTGCTATACAACCTTAGTTGTCCTGGAACTCACTCACTCTGTACACCAGGCTGGCCTCAAACTCATAGAGATCTGCCTCCCGAGTGCTGAGACTGAAGGTGTGCACCACCATGCCTAACTTAAATGTGATTAAAAAAATTTACTTAAATCTTTAAAAAAAGATGGGATGGAGGGAGGGAGGGAGAGAGGGAAGGAGGGAAAGAAAGAAAGAACCCTCAAATCACAGGAGAATCACCTCATTTGAATATCTGAAAAGCCCCAGGCTCTTCAGCACTTTCACAAGAGAAGTGTGTCAGCCTAACCTAGAGGAGCTATTCTACTCATCTCCCACCACCTGCTGTAAGCGCGCGCATGCGTGTGTGTGCGTGTGTGTGTGCGTATGTGCGTGCATGTGTGTGTGTGTGTGTATTCTATATTTACACATGTCACTTCTTCAAATCTACCATCAAGTCCAAGGGCTCATAATAGAGAAGGAAGCTGAGGCCACCCAGGCTGCTCCCAGCCACAGACAACAGACCTCCTGTTCCATAATAACGAGCCCCTTGGGGGTTACTTTTTCTGCTTTCTTGGCTAGCTTGCTTGTTTTTGAGACAGGGTCTCATGGATCTCATGCTGACCTTGAAATCCAAATAAATCTTTAATTTTTTCTGGGGGGGGGGTGGGAGTTTGAGACAGGGTTTCTCTGTGTAGCACTAGCTGTCCTGGAACTAGCTCTTGTAGACCAGGCTTACCTCGAACTCACAGAGATCCACCTACCTCTGTCTCCCTCCTGAGTGCTGGGATTAAAGGTATATGCCACCATTCTCCCTAATTTGTTTATTTTTGGGGGGACAGGGGTTCAAGACAGGGTTTCTCTGTGGCTTTGGAGGCTGTCTTGGAGGCTGTCCTGGAACAAGCTCTTTTTTTTTTTTTAAAGATTTATTTATTATGAATACAACATCCTGCCTCCATGTATGTCTGCACACCAGAAGAGGGCACCAGATCTCATTATGGATGGTTGTGAGCCACCATGTGGTTGCTGGGAATTGAACTCAGGACCTCTGGAAGAGCAGTTGGTGCTCTTAACCTCTGAGCCATCTCTCCAGCCCTGGAACTAGCTCTTGTAGACCAAGCTGGTCTCAAACTCACAGAGATCTGCCTACCACTGTTTCTTAAGTGCTGGGATTAAAGGTGTGCGCCACCACCACCTGACTTCCTTATTTATTTATTTATTTATTTAATTTTTTTTTTTTTTTATTTTTTGGTTTTTACGAGACAGGGTTTCTCTGTGGCTTTGGAGGCTGTCGGTCCAGCCTGGCCTCGAACTCACAGAGATCCGCCTGCCTCTGCCTCCCGAGTGCTGGGATTAAAGGCGTGCGCCACCACTGCCCAGCTATTTATTTATTTTAAAGATTTCTTTATTATGTATACAGTGTTCTGCCTGTATGTATCCCTGCAGGTCAGAAGAGGGCACCAGATCTCATTACAGATGGTTGCGAGCCACCATGTGGTTGCTGGGAATTAAACTCAGGACTTCTGGAAGAGCAGTCAATGCTCTTAACCTCTGAGCCATCTCTCCAGCTCCCCCTCCCCCCCATTTTTTTGTTTTTTTTGGTTTTTTGAGACAAGGTTTCTCTGTGGCTTTGGAGGCTATCCTGGAACGAGCTCTTGTAGACCAGGCTGGCCTCGAACTCACAGAGATCCGCCTGCCTCTGCCTCCCAAGTGCTGGGATTAAAGGCGTGCGCCACCAACGCCTGGCCTCCCCCCCATTTATTTTTAAGTTTAAAAAAATCACATTTGGGTTGGAGAGATGGCTCAGAGGTTAAGAGCACTGGCTGCATTTCCAGAGGCCCTAAATTCAATTCCTGGTAACCACATGGTGGCTCACAACTATCTGTAATGAGATCCAGTGCCCTCTTCTGGCCTGTAGGCAGAACACTGGGGTTCTAATTTGGCACAGAGAGACAATGGTGCTGCCTCAGGATGGAGAGAGAGACTGGATGTGTGGGCTTGGAGCTATAGGGGAGGTGTCTGAAGGAAAGAGTGATGAGTTGGCCAAGTTGGAGACAGAGGTCAGAAAAGAGGGAAATCATGGTGTGTGTGTGTGTCTATGTGTTACAGCATGTGCCCTTATTCTCTTCTCTGTGTCCCCTGTGTCACCATTCCTGTTCCCCACTATCTATTCACACACTGTCACCCAGCCTCATTCATAGACCTTTGGTCTAGATGTGCAGGCTCTAGGAGGGATTCTCGCTGGCTTGTCTGCAGAACCTGGCTCAGCAAAGGCTTGCCCTTCCCCCACTCTCCCTCCCTCTGCTGACTCCCACAGGCCTCTTCAGCACACTCACCAGCCTGCAGAGCTACAGAACCCTGGAGGAGCTCGTCTCTGCCATGCCCCAGACCTCCACACGGTGGCCCATTTGCTTCAAGTCAACTGAAAGAATTGTCACAGAGGCCACAGTGGTACCTGCGGGTCAGCTGCTCAGGCTCGAAGCTGTGGAAATACACCATGGGACCCAGTATGCACGCTGTGTCCAGGACTCAAAGACCCAGGAGATCATCCATTATCTGCCCCTTTCCCAGAAGGGAACCTTCTGGAGATGCAAGCCTGGTGCCCCACAAACCCTGCTCGAAATCCTGCAGGACCCAGCTAATCAGGGCCTTATGCTCACCTGCCCCAGCCTACCCTGGCGCTCGGTGATCCTGAAGTCCGAGTACATGCTCCAGGCAGTGATGCACAGTGAGTTACCTGGGCAGGCGGGCAGGCAGGAGTGGTTGGGAGCTGCACAGTTCAAAGATTCCCCTGACTCTGCGTAGTCTGGGGCTCCAGCTTGTTTACCCAGTGTTTGCAATGTAACAATACAGATGCCCAGTGAAACGGGAAATAATGGTGTAAGAAGAGATAGGAAAATAGTATGAACACACCCAAGGTCCCTCATGCTTTACAGAGTTGGCTAAGGTTAGATCCCACACTAGCCAGGGCTACAAAGATGCTGTCTCAAAACTGCAAAAACAAAACAATTAATTAAAGGGGGGGGGGGGAGACAGCAAGCCACGCGGTGGCTTACAACCATCTGTAATGAGCTCTGGTGCCCTCTTCTGGCCTTCAGGCATACATGCAGGCAGAACACTGTCTACATAATAAATAAATCTTAAAAAAAAAAAAGGCGGGAGTAGCCCAGGCTAGTCTGCAACTCCTAATCCTCCTACCTACCTCCAAGTCAAGTGCTGGAGTATATGGGTGTGGCCACACCTGGTTAAAACAAAACAAAACAAACCCGAAGCTTAAAAAATTATTCTTTTTTAGAGATGCATATGCATGGCATGGTAAAGTAGATTTTGTTTATGGAGAAGAAAGGAAAAGGAAATACCCTCCCAGATCCCTCTTGAAAAAGCAAACTTGAGGAGGTCTAGGTGTCCTGTTTCCCCACTGCAAGCATTTTAGCTGCTAGAATTCACACCACCCCTAGCTTGGTCACCTTTTCCATCCCTACTGTTTCAATTTAAGCATCACACACTGACTTCCCTTAAACATAGCACACCCCTTATATTACACTTCTGCAACATTATGACATCCTTAGCTAGTATGTTAATTTGTTTTATCTTATTGTATTCTGAGATAAAATATTATTTATCATTATTTTATCTCATGTAGCCTGGCTAGCCTTGAATTCCCGATCATCCTGGTTCCACGTCCCAAGCTCTGAGATTGTAATGGTGTACCACCACACCTGGCTCATGGGCTTTTTATTCTAATACGGAGTTCTTAGATTACTTTATGTGTATGGGTGTCTGGGCTGAATGCATATCTGTGCAGCATGTGCGTGCCTGGTGCCCATGGAGGTCAGAATCGGGCGTCAGATCCACCTGGAACTGGAGTTACCCTGTCAGGCGGTTCACAGCCTCCTGTAATGCCAGCCCCTGCAGGATCCAACTCCCCTGGCCTCTGTGGTCACCTGCACTCACATGCACAAATCTATACACAGTTATAAGTAATAAAAACAAGTATAGCCGGGCATTGGTGCCACACACCTTTAATCCCAGCACTCGGGAGGCAGAGGCAAGCGGATCTCTTAAAATTAAAAGAAATTAAGATTAAGAAATAAAAAGAGGCTGAAGAAAGATTGGGCAAAAATATCTAGTACAGTAGGAAAATGATTTTTGGAAAGAAAAGATGAAACAGGCTCAAAGCTGGGGTGGGGGCCACCATGGGGTGCTATGCTGCACCCCTGAACTGCCTTCTCCCCACAGTGCGCCGCACCATTGCCAAGATCCCATCCAGCCTGGAGGTGGAGGTAGAAGACGTCACCGCCTCCTCCCAGCATATCCACTTCATCAAGCCACTGCTGCTGAGCGAGGTCCTGGCCCAGGGAGGCCCCTTCCCTATGACCACAGAGATCCTGGAGGTTCCTGAGGGCCCTCCCATCTTCCTCAACCCGTGGGTGGGCTCCCTACGCAAAGGCCAGAAACTCTGCATCTACGGGCCAGCCTCGCCACCCTGGCGGGTCGTGGCCACAAGCAAGAGCCGAAGGGTTCCCAGATACTTTATCCTCTCTGGGGCCTACCAGGGCAAGCTGAGGCGGAGGCCAAGGGAGTTCCCCACGGCCTATGACCTTTTGGGTGCTCTCCAGCCAGGCCGACCCCTCCGGGTGGTGGCCACAAAAGACTGTGATGGGAACGAAGAGGAGAATCCTGAATTTTCTTTCCTGGCCGTGGGTGACCGGCTGGAGGTGCTGAGGCAAGGCCAGGTCTGTGGGACACAGGGCCAGGACATAGATGTCTTGGTATGTCAGCGGCTGAGTGAGCAGGCAGGGGAGGAAGAGGAGGAGTTGGGAGAGGAAGAGGAGGAAGGAGAGAACACAGAACAGATTCTGCTACCCCTCTACCTCTCTGGTGCCTTTGTGGAGGAGGTGAGTGATAGCCGGCGCTATAGCCTAGCAGATCTCACTGCCCAGCTCTCCCTGCCCTGTGAGGTCAAGGTGGTGGCCAAGGATGCCCAGGAACTTTCTGACCCTCTGGTCTCCTTCCCGGGCCTGCGGCTGGAGGAGAAGATCACAGAACCCTTTTTGGTGGTAGGCCTGGACTCCCAGCCAGAAATGCGCTTTGAGATTCCTCCCCGGTGGCTGGACCTGACTGTGATGGAAGCTGAGGGGCAGCCAGGCCAGGTGGCTGAACCACGCTCTGTCGCTAGGGTGGAGGAACTGTCAGAAGGTTTCTACTACAGTCTCCGGAAGCTGCCGGCCTCTGAGAGCCAAGCTCCTCCACCCAGGCCCCCAAAGAGCAAGGGTGTCAGTGAGCAGAAGCAGAGAAATCAGAGCTGCAAGGAGGCCAGTGTGAAGGTACGCACAGCACCTATCATTAAGTTCTAGTCTTTATACCAGTTATTCCCACCCAGGCCTCATAATCTTGAAGTTGGTGTAATTACCAGTATTTTATGATTGAGACAATGAGCATTGAGCCAGGCAGTGGTGGCGCACGCCTTTAGTCCCAGCACTCAGAAGGCAGAGGCAGGTGGATCTCTGTGAGTCAGAGACCAGCCTGGTCTACAAGAGCTACTTCTAGAATAGCCTCCAAAGCCACAGAGAAACCCTGCCTCGGGGGAAAAAATAAATAAGAGGATTGGGACTCCGACATGCTCCCAAAGTGGGAGTTTCTAAACTGAAGGCCTGGGCTTGTGTGTGAGCCTTCTAAGTTCCTGGGACTTTTGCTGTCACCTTGCTGACATGCCCATGTGGAGCATCTGTTCTTACAATAGCTCTTAGGATGGCCTCCTGTCCTGATTTGTTTTATGTGGCTGTGATAAAATGTCCCAAGTTAAAAGCAACATAGAGGAGGAAGGTCTGTTTGAGTACAATTCCAGGTTAGAGCCTTTCACTGCAGGGAAGTCACAGAGACAGGCTTAAGACAGCTGGCCATACCACATCCAGTCAGGAGTAGAAAGAATCTGACAAATGTATACCGCCTGCTAGCTCTTTTGATGGTTTTCTTTACTTTATACAGTTCAGAGTCCAGCGCAGGGAATGGGTGTCACCCACAGTGGGCCTGTTTGTCCAACATTGATTGGCAGTCAAGACAATCACCCACAGACATACCCACAGGCTAACCTGATCTAGATAATTCCTCATTGAAACTCTCTTCCCAGGTAGTTCTAGGTTATGCCAAATTGGCAGTTAAAACTAACCAGCATGGCTCCTAAGTCTTTCTCTGGCTGTCTGCTGGGCAGTGTTGAAACCTTCGGTGGCTCCACATGGCATCAGGGTCCTTCATTAACTGACTCCAGCTGGCACCCCTGGGCCACCTTCCACCACTTTGTATTCCCAACTTCAGCCACAGAGGCTCTGGGTTGGCACATGGGAGAGTATGGGTCACAGAATTCACGTGACCCATGTCACTTTCAACTCACTGTACTGTAAGCTCTCTGCCTAAAAAGACAGTTGGGCAGGATAAGGGGGGCAGAGAGCAGAAATTCCAAGTCCCCAAGACTGGTGGGCACTGCTGAATAAGCCAAGGAGAATGGGGATGCTCTCTCTCTCTCTCTCTCTCTCTCTCTGATGCTCTCTCTCTCTGATGCTCTCTCTCTCTCTCTCTCTCTCTCTCTCTCTCTCTCTCTCTCTCTCTCTCTCTCTCTCTCTCTCTCTCTCTCTCTCTCTCGAGCTGAGACAAGTCACCTGAGCTCATATAGATAGGAGGTGGCAGGGCTGGGTTTGAACTCGGCCCTGACTGCAATGCCTATGTGCCCGAGTGACCTATCAGAAGCATTTTTTGTGAACACAACATACTGTTTTGAGACCTCAGGAGGCCTGCATTTATTATCCTGTAGCCTGTGGCAGCGGGAGTTAAAAAGATGAATCCCGAGGAACTCCTGTCCATGAGAAGCCTGACCCAGAAAAACAGACAGAAAGTGGCACTGTTGGCAAACTCCATCTCATGGGCTTGACAGCTGATCTCCTACCTTTTCTGATTTCTAGTTTTTTATTTATTTTTTTGTTTTGTTTCCTGCTCAGTCTCAGGTTATAGGACAACAGCAATCCTACCCACAGCCTGAACCCAAGGCGAAGACCTTGGAAGAGCTCCCCAAGGACAAATCAAATTTGTACAGCAAGATTCCTGTCCATAAAAAAGACCTTAAGTCCAAAACCCAAACACAGGATTCAGGTAAGTCCTTTGGCTCCTCAGGCCCCTCTCCCACCTCTGCTAGCTCTACCTGGGGGACCCTACGGTGGCCCTAGTTTAAAGCCAAGCTTGTACAGAGTGGGTTGGGTGAGAAGGTCTGTGGTCTTTCTCCCTAGACTCCACATCCTAGCAATGAAATGAGGCCAGTCCCAGACACAATGTACTCGTATGACAAACAGAACAGTAAAATGGCCGCAGTGTTTAAAGAAAATGAATTGTGGTTTCTGGGCTGTAGAGTTTGGCCAAGCCCTTCCCTGTCAATGGGAGGAAACTGAAAAGGGGAAGGAACTAGCCTAACGACAAAGATTTGAATGACCTGGCTGTCTTTTCTTCTTCAGTGCTGGGCAAATACTCCATAACTGAGTCATATCCCCTGTCTGACTCAGATATAGATGACCACGACTATGAAGAAATTTGAGGTGCTGGGGAGCCACACTTCCCAGCTGCTGCTGTACATGAAGTTGGGATACCAGCTAACTCTTGGGAGACCTGGGGCAAAGTCACATGTTGGCACAGAACTGAAATGGGACAGACACTATTCCCACCTCCTATGGGTTCCAGATTCCTGCCTCTGCCTGGTCCCGGGAGGTTGCGAGAAACCATTCAAGTTCTGTTCGCTCCTGTGCTCAGCAGTTGTCCCACAACTGGGCGCAGAAAAGATTCAAACGAGACCACCAGCTTCAGCAATGCCTGCTCCCGGTAAAGGGACCTCAGTCCTCATTGCACACCCTGCTCTACCACTTCTGCAGTCCAGGCTCTGGGCCTGGGGCAGACAGCATTCTCATGTTGGTAGAATCTAGCTCACGACAGCACACAGTCAATGGGCTTGTATGAATAAATGTGGGAATTTGCCTCCAAGAACAAAATCTTAGGTAGGACTTTAGTTCTCAAGATCCGTTAGTGGAACTAGGAGAGCTAATTTACATAGAAGGACCAGAGAGAGCTGGGCGGTGGTGGCGCACGCCTTTAATACCAGCACTTGGGAGGCAGAGGCAGGTGGATCTCTGTAAGTTCGAGGCCGGACTGGACTGACAGCCTCCAAAACAATACAGAGAAACCCTGTCTCGTAAAACAAAACAAAACAAAAAAACAAAAAAAAAGGACCAGAGAGATGGCTCAGTGATTAAGAGCCCTTTGCTGCTCTTGCAGAGGATCCAAGTTCAGTTCCCAGCTCGTACATCAGGTATCTCATAACTGCCCGTAACTCCAACTCCAGGGTATCCAACATCTGCTTCTGAATTCTGTGGGCACTGCACTCATGTGCAAAACCCTGCCCCCCAACACAAAAATAAGACACAATTAAAAAAGCTTAAAGCTGGGTTTGGTGGTATACAACTTTAATCTCAGTACTCTGGTGGAAAAAGAGGCAGGTGAATATATGTGAGTTCAAGGCCAGCCTGATCTACATATTTATTAAGGAAAAAAAAGGGCTGGAGAGATGGCTCAGAGCTTAAGAGCACTGGCTGATCTTCCAGAAGTCCTGAGTTTAATTCCCAGCAACCACATGGTGGCTCACAACCATCTATAATAAGATCTGGCGCCCTTTCTGGCATGAAAGTGTATATGCAGGTAAAATACTGTATACATGAGAAATAAATATTAAAAAAAAAGAACAATCTATGGTGTCACATGGGAATCTCACTAGGCTCAGTATAGGTTAAATGAGGTTTATTCAGATTACACTTACACAAGAGGCTGCCACAGGTTTCCAGCGCCAAGGATCCTTCCAAGCTATTTCCTATGACCCAGCCAGCAGCACAAAAGAGCATGCCTGTCAGACCTAAATCCCCCACCTCACTTAACGCACCTGTGACCACACCCCAGGGCCACAGGTGTGTAGTTAGATCTCTGGCTACACTATGGAGACCCAAAGCTGTGGAAATCTGGCATGTTTTTGAAAATTATTATTTTACGTGCATTGGTATTTTGCCTGCATGTAAGTCTGTGTAAGGGTGCCAGATCCCCTGGAACTGGAGTTAAACAGGTGTGTGCTAGGAAGTGAACCCAGGTCCTCTGGAGGAGCAGTCAGTGCTCTTAACAACTGAGTCATCTCTCCAGCCCTGTGGCATGCTTTAAGTGGTACTGTGACACTGTTAAAGCTGCTAAAGCAACAGAATAAAATGACATGCGCTTCTGTATTAATAATTTATTAAGTCTTACCTGAGTACCAGACCCTTTAGAAACCATATCCAAACCTTGAACTCTTGGAGAGAAACACTGGCCTGATTTTAAAGATTGGGACAGGCCGGGCGGTGGTGGCACATGCCTTTAATCCCAGCACTCGGGAGGCAGAGGCAGGCGGATCTCTGTGAGTTCGAGACCAGCCTGGTCTACCGAGCGAGTTCCAGGACAGCCTCCAAAACAATACAGAGAAACCCTGCCTCAAAAAACCCAAAAAGAAAAAAAGAAAAGATTGGGAAACAGGCTTAGTGATTGATGGTCTGGGGAGATGGACCAGCACAATGGTTAAGGAGAGGGCTCCAAAAGGCAAGTCTAGATTAGGTTCCCAGCATACCATGTACCAAATGCCAATTTCAGCCACTTGTTTCACCTTAGGCTTTAGTTTCATGACATCTACAGATGGTTCTAAGGATCAACTGAGGTCTGTACAAGGCATTTGTGTACTTGGCACTCACTGTTAGTATCACTGTTACCAAGCCACACTAGCACAATATCACAAAGCTGTGTCTTCAGTCTCTGGTTTCCATGATGCCTGCACTCTCATCATGGAATTCACTGGAAAAAAAAAAAAAAAAAAAGCTGCCAGGCAGTGATGGACAGACAGGCAGATCTCTGAGTTCAAGGCCAGCCTGGTCTACAGAACAAATTCCAGGATTAGGCTCCAAAGCTAGAGAAATCCTGTCTCAAAAATAGAAAAAAAAAAAGCTGACTCCCTGGACTCTGGGCCCAACAGTGTTTGACAGCCACTGTCCAGAAGCAGAGATAAGAGGGTAAATATAAACCTTAGTTTCTACAAGCTGGAAAAGTCACAGAATTTAGCCCTAGGACACCAGAGAAGATGGGACAGATTAAAGGATGTTGACTTTACAGTTGATCTGAGATGGATCACTGGCACTGCACCTGTGTGTGCTCCTCTCTGGGCTGCCTAGACCTGTTCTTGTAGGTTCTCTGACCTTGAATGAAGTTCTCCAGGTGATTCCTACAGGCAGCAAGCATGCTGCTGGCCAGTCCCAACTGTCGACACCTCATCCACAAATTTCTACCTACCTCTCTCCAGAAGGCAATGTTCACTGCACTGGAGACCCAGGGACAGACAATGGAGAGAAGCAATAAGCAAGATCTTGACAGAATGTTCCTTCCTGGCTCTGAACTACCAGAGGGCAGACCAATAATCAAGATATTTCTAGTTTTCACTTCCAGTCTTGACACAAAACAGAATAAGCCACAAAAAGAGGCTACCAGTCCTATGAAATAGGATGTCCAGGGCTGGAGAGACAGTTCAGTGGTTAAGAGGATTGGGCTTTCCTGCAGAGGGCCCAGGGTTAGTTGCCAGCGCCCACCCAGCTGCTCACAACCATCATCCAGCTCCTGGGATTCTGACCCTCTCCTTTGAATGCAAACACTTACACACATAAAAACAAAGGTTTTGAGTAATCAGGTGCTTCCATGCAGAGAAAGGCAGTGATGTCTTAGCTGTGCTTCAAGGAATCAATCACAGGGACTGGGGAGGTGGCCCCGGGGGTAAGGTGACCCGAGTTTGGATCCATAGCACTTACATAAAAGCCAAGTCTAGTGGCCTCTACCTGTAACCCTAACATTGGGAGGTGGGGGCCAGAGACAGGCAGGTCCCAGGGGCTCACTGAAACGTCAAAGTTTAGTAACGACCTGATCTCAAAAACATATGTTGAGGGAGATGCCTGGTGTCAACCTTTGGCTGTACATGGGTAGATGTCTTCAATCAGTGCTGTACCCCTACCCCCAGCCCCCCAAAGCATGTTCAGCAACTGTAGCTGATTTTTCGGAGTAATGGCAGTTGCTCCAGGAGCCCTCAGAGGACTTCTTTCCCTTAAACAAGCTGGGCTAGTGGGAAGGATATAACAATGGGGTTGGTGATGCCCCTTGAGTAGTGGTCTTCTAAGTGGTGTACACACCAGGTGTTCCTTTGGGAACAAAAAATAGGTATCAGCACTTATTGTTTTGAGACAATGTCTCACTGTGTAGCATTGGTTGACTTGCAATTAGCTATGTAGACCAGGTTACCTCTGAATTCAAGATATCTGCTTGCCTCTATCTGGTGAGTGCTGGAATTAAAGGTTCTGGGTCACTACACCTGGCTCATTCCTACTTCGGAATGTTTTTTTATAATGATAAGCATATTAATAGGGTAAACTTATGTAAGTTACTAAACAAAATAAGGTACATGTTCAAACATTTTGCCAATGTGAAGTTTCTTCCAGCTATACTATCTTTTTTTTTAGGCTTGTGAAATCAACTGTACCAAAACAAAACCACTAATCCTAATTCTTATTCTGTACTTTCTCAAGTTAAGCTTAGTAAAATGTTATTTTTCATAATGTCCCATTTCTCCACCTGCAATCCTAAAAATTTTGCTGAGAGCAGGCTGAACACACAATCAAATCAGGTGACACTGGTAGTTTCTAAGAACATGGGTCATATTGGTGTTCCAATTACTGGACTCCGAAACACAAGCTCTTCTACCTGTGCAGAGCAGCAACTCCAGGGGCTGGAATTCTACAACACTGTCCTGCCTGTGCTCTGCCTCAAACGCCCAGTGCTCAGCAATCATGTGATCACTGAGAGCCATCAAATGACCAGGACTCAGCTGCCTGATGCTAATTTCTCCAATTGCTAGTACCAAACCAACAGTTTGGTATCTAATAGACACTGAACAACTCCTGTGTGTGCGAAAGCAAATGCAGGTGCCAGCGAGTTAGAGGCATCAGATCCCCTAGAACTGGAATTAGACAGTTGTAAGCTGCCTAACATGGGTGCTTGGAACTGAATTCAGGCCCCCTTGGAAAAGCAACAGATGTTCTTCATCCCTGAGCCCTGTGTCTAGGTCTCCCAACCCCCCCTTTTTTTCAGACAAGATTCCACTATGCAGTCATAGCTTAGTAACTGGTATGTTGATCAGGTTGGCCTCAGAACTCAACAGCTCATCTACCGCCTAAAACAAGTCATTTGAATTCTATGGAAAGACCCACCCAGAACCACAGCTTTGTTTATCTGGTAACTAGAGGAAATCGGAAATCTGTGAAAGTACCCATCATACATCCCACACTGGAACATTTTTTTTTCTTGTTCTCAGCAATTTCCTTTGTCTAAGAATGGATCCATAACCAAAAACCTAACTAGTTAGCTGACCCTTACCTACAGGTATGGGTCTTCAGAGGGAACTACTTACTACTCTGTCTAGAAAACTGCCAGATGTTTACCATCAGCAATCAGGGTTGAGAGCTCATTTAGAAGTGAGTAGTTATTTGCATGTTCCACATTAAGAACCCCACCCCCAAGTTAGTTCCCGTCCCAGACATTATTTACCTTTGACTTCTATGAACTCATTTCCTCTACTGCAAGAACAGCCTTTGTGAAGTCTCACAACAGTCAACTCAGTTACATGATCACATATATCAGCACCAACATTAAAGGCCCCATTCTTCAGCCCTGCCAGGGACTGAACCAGCCTTGTGGATGGCAGGCAATCCGCTACTGTGAGTTATAACTGTAACCCAAGGTCTATTCATAATCCTTCATGGCAATGCCACACGCTTTGCACATCTGCAACAAACCCCTGAGAAAATCTGCCTGATGATCTGAGTTGGATCCTGAAATACAAGTAGAAGATGACTGACTCTGTACACCATAGAAAGAAAACACTCCAGCAAGCTGTCCTCTGACTTCCATACAATAAGTGAAAAAACAGTTACATCTTAAAAGCTATTACAGCCGGGTGTTGGTGGCACACACCTTTAGTCACAGCACTCAGGAGGCAGAGGCAGGCAGATCTCTGTGAGTTTGAGACCAGCCTGGTCTACAAGAGCTAGTTCTAGGACAGCCTCCAAAGCCACAGAGAAACTCTGGCTTGAAAAACCAAACAAAAAACCTCCCCAAACAACAAAAAGCTATTACAATCAAACTTTTATTGAACATATGAACATTTATATTACAAAGAATGGAGTAACATTTCTTCCTCTCTGCCCTGTGAGGCCACCATGCCAGAACCTCATGCTCACTGAAACCTACTTTCGGTCGTAGGCAAGACAAGGGGAAGGAAAGTGCAATTCTGAAAGTAACACCACAGACCCAGAGTGGGAAACAAATTAGGCAGAAGGTAGTGGGTTCTGTATGTGGCCCTTGGCCTTAGTATTACCACCCCAACAAGAAGCCTTTCAAGAGCAGACACTCCCAAGCATGATGCAGTTCTGCCCTGCTCTCTGGGTTGTGTTCCTCTTTCAAGCCCATCCATCTAGCCTGGAGTCCTGACTAGATTATCTGGAATTTCTGTTATGAAATCCCATCCTGGTTTACTTCCTTCTCAACTGGCTAGCTCCTTTTGAACATCTAAACAACAAACAACAAAACAGAACAGCAGCAAGTTTCAAGAGGACATAAGCTGACACCTTCTCTATGAAACTTGTCCTAGAAGCCACTGGCCAAAACCTGCAGAGCTGGAGACAACAGATGGTGGAAAAACAGGTCCAGCTGGAAATATTTTGGGTACCCAATGAGCTCTAGTTACTCTGCATCTGTAGATTTAAAGTGATCATCATCCACTGTAGAATAAATGTGCCCCTCGTTGCACAGAAAATCCACTGCTTGCCTAGAAGGAAAAAAGAAGGGGGGAGGTTCTTTTTAAAACCAGTGTCTTTTTTGAATATAACTAAACAAGCAAATATCACTAGTTTTTGTACTTCTTATCCTAAGAATTACTCGGCCATTTTGTTCCTGGGAGTCTCTTGTAGAGAAAAGCCAATTAAACTTCAGGATTGAGATTATCCATGCAGACAAGGGCTACTAGGGCTGCCTCATATCCTGACCACAAATTTCAAAAGGAATAGGGCCCCACTTAATATGCCAATTTAGCTGACAAAGAACCTGAAGCCATAGTCACCTCACACATAAAATCCCTACTGTACACAGGGGTCTTAAGTCTCCCTTCCCTGGATTCATGCCACAGAATCACACACTGAAATGCTTTTTGCTCTGCCTGTGGGCAGCAGAGAAGTAGGAAGTGAAAGGTAATTCAAAAAGAGGGTGAATCAGAAACAGTAACATGTTTAGTAACAGTCAGAATTTACCCAGTGATTTTGTACCTCATCACCAGTGACTTTGAGATGGGCATAACTGTCACCACTATGCCACAGGAATGGAAACTGACTTGGGCATTTCTTTTCCAACTAGACCTTCAATTTTCTCCCCAAGATAGGGTTTCTCTGTGTAACAACCAGTTCTGGCTTTCTTGTAACTTGCAATGTAGACCAGGCTGGCCTCAAACTCACAGAGATCCACCTGTCTCTGCCTCCTGAGTGCTGAGAATAAAGGCATGCACCAACTAGGCCTACAGTTACTAAATGGGCTTTTATTTATTTATTTATTTTGAGATAGGGTCTCTTTATGTAGTCATGACTGTCCTGGAACTTGCTTTGAAGGCCAGGCTGGCCTCAAAGTCAAGAACCACAAGCACTATCTACTTATATATAGTCCACATCTCAGTTCACTGCAATGGAATCATGAGTCTGTTGCCTAAAATAGAAATCAGGTCAAAGGTGTAAGAAGGACTGACTGCCAAATGCCTTCAGATACAGAAAAAAATCAGCAAGTGGTGCCAACAGTGCCACCTATGAGTCCTTTTGAAATTGTTTCACAGCTGGCCAACTTCCCTCAACAGGCTGCAGTTGACAACTTTCCTTTTTTCTTTTGGTGTGGGTCTCATGCAGTCCAGGTTGACTTTGAACTCCTGCTCCTCCCTTTCAAGCGCTGAGATTACAGGTGAGTACTACCAAACCCAGCTCCAGCTTTACCTTTTACACGTACTCCTCATCATCAGGAACCAAGGACAGACAGGTACAATTCTGGACCTCTAGGTCATGGACAGTAACACTTACTTGATTGAGGCTACAGACATGTGCTGGAGCTGGTTTCTGAGATCCTGAAAGTTCAATCCTTCTGGTCTTGGGCAAGCCTTGATCAAATTCAGCACCTGACAGTTCAAATAAAGACTTTAGCAACCAGTCTTGATCAGTTGACTCAAATAAGCCTGAGTCCCTACATAAGCAAAAAGAGGGACTGGAGAGATGGTGGAAGAGGAGCACTTGCTACTCCTGGGTTTGTAGACTCTCTGGTTTCCACTGATACCAGGCCATTGGATACATGGAGGGATAGACACACACACTCACAGGCAATCACACATACACTAAAGGGGGAGGAGGTTGGTGTGAAGCAGGCCTCAAGATAACTTACATTATTTAGGAAGTAACAAAATATAGGCCTACCTGTGCTTTACACAGGAAATAGGCATCTTACCTGGTTTTGGACCACAGTGAGGCCATTTGCTGGCATGAGGTTATTCCCACTGAAGTTTCCTGTCTCACCCATTCCTGAGTTGCTGATAGATGGTCTCCCTGCTGAGAGCTGAATTAACAAGTTCAGAACATTAAGAAAGTCAAACCTTAACAATGAAAATTTCAGAGAGGAAAGTAAAATAACTTCCTGAAGCAAATATCCCTCTCCCCTGACAAGGATACTTCTGGCCTTGTAATTTTATGTGCCAGCTATAATGATTTCATTGGGAACCACTCAAGCAAGCAATTATTATGGAACACCATTGGGAGACAAAAGAACATATGCTTTGTCTGCAGGTGTAGGTCCCTGCCTATTGTGGATAAGGCTGTGGGTTCGATTCTAAACACGATGAAGACGGGGCACAGCTGCTCCATCCTCCTTTTAGTAACTCCTTTCTCTGCCTACCACTGTCTGGATTATCTCAAATACTCTGAATAGAGCTCTACCAAAGTAATCACTGACTTCTCAATCCGCAGTCCAAGTCTCAGTCTTCACAACATCTGACCTTTCAGCAGCAGACACTTCTGACCACTCCCATCAAATGTGTGCCTACCATGCTTCTTCACGCCATCATCTCTGGTTCCCACTTACTCAAACTATACCTACCTTCTCAGTACCATTTGCCCTATCTCCAAAGACTGACAAGCTCCCCCTCAGGATTCCATCCTGGACCTCTTGCTAGGCCACAAATCTTTACTACTGGTACCCACCTTCATATCAGAGACTTATGAATTAAATTCTTTCTTTCCTCTTTAAGGCTGTTTCTCATAATTCACCTTAATTGGAAGGCCCATTAGCAGAACCAATCCATCTTTGAGTCTCCATTCTTTCACATTCCATAATTATTAATTTCTAGTATGCTTACTTGAAACTCGTAAGTGGTTCTCTCTGCCTGTAAAAGCAATACACCAAGACTACAGGACTGCAAACTAGTAGTCAAAAGCTATACTTTTCCAGCTGTTTCCCTTCTACAGTCTACATAGCCCAGGCTGACCGGCTGACCTCTGCCCTTGCAGAGGACCCCAATTTGGTTCCCAGCATGCATGCCAGTGGCACACAATTGCTTATAACCCTACCTCCAAGGGATTACTCCTGGCCTCTGAAGGTACCCTCACATATCACATACATTTATATAAACACATAAAAATAAATACAAAATTTTAACATTTGTTTTCCCAGAAAAGGGAAAAAGTTGATTGCAGCTCCTTACCTGGTTGTTGGATTTGCTGAGCATCATGTGTGAATTGACCACTTCCAGAATATGTGCAGTGAACTCATTCATATCTTCTAGAGGTATGATCTTAAAGGCTACCAGGCTCTTTTTGTTCTATTAAAGAGAAAAATGTAAGTAAAAGACAAAAATATTCAAGTCACTTTCTGGGCACACCACTGGCTTTCTCCTTCATTATATTTTTTCAATTTTGGGGAAATTATCTGTTAAACACTTTTTTAAAATGTGTATCTGAATGTGGGCACATGTACCACACTGCATGTGAGGGAGGTCACAAGACAGAATTGGGTATTGAGCCACACCTCCCACCTCAAATGGAGGTTGTTTTTCTACTATATACACCTGACTAAGTAGCCCCAAAGCTTCTAGGGACTCTCCTGTTTCTACTTCCCAACTCCCCACGGGAGCATTACTGGGGTGATATTTAACAAATAAAGCTTGTCTGAAGATCACAGTGCAGAGCTAAACCACTAGACGCCAGGGAATGGTGGCACACACCTTTAATCCCAGGACTTGGGAGACAGGGATTTCTTGTAAATTCAAGGCTACCCTGCACTATATGATATTGAGTCTGTCTAAAAAAGAAACAGCTCACACAAAGGTGATCTCAGCACTTGGAATCCCACTGCTGTCTGAGGCCCCTTTGGTGTGATTATTGGTGGAGCTAAGAACTCTAGTGTCTGGCCACTTTGCTTCTCTGATCTTCAGCTTTAATCCCATATTTGTCTCTGGGTCTTTATTATTAACCAACTAGAATTCATGCTACATATTACAGAGGCTCCTGCTACTCATCTAGCTTTTACATAGCTCCTGGTGATTTTTTTTTTTTTTTTTTTTTTGGTTTTTTCCAGACAGGGTTTCAGGGTTTCTCTGTATTGTTTTGGAGGCTGTCCTGGAACTCACTTTGTAGACTAGGCTGGCCTCGAACTCATAGAGATCCACCTGCCTCTGCCTCCTGAGTGCTGTGATTAAATGCGTGCTCCACCACTGCCCGGCGCTCCTGGTGATTTTTAACTCAAGAACTCAGGTCCCTCACATTTACATGCATGTGTTGGTTACCCAGTGAGCCATCTCCTTAGCTCTACTTAATTTTTTTTCTTTTTTTTGAGACAAGGTTTTACTATGTAGCCATGGTTGGCCTAGAACTAAGAGATTTCCCCATTGAGACAGGGTCCCACTATGTAGTCCTGGTGATTTGGAGCTCACTTTATAGAGCAGGGTTGGCCTCAAACTCAGAAATGTATTTGCCTCTACCTCCTGGGTACTGGGAATGATGATTATGTACTACATGTTGAAGGCTTCAATGTCTCTTTGAAGATAAAACATAGCCAGGCGTTGGTGGAATACATCTTTAGTCCCAGCACTCAGGAGACAGAGGCAGGCAGATCTCTGTGAGTTCGAAGCCAGCCTGGTCTATAGAGCGAGTGCCAGGATAGTCTCCAAAGTTACACAGAGAAACCCTGCCTTGAAAAACCCAAAAGAAGCCGGGCGTTGGTGGCGCACGCCTTTAATCCCAGCACTCGGGAGGTAGAGGCAGGCGGATCTCTGTGAGTTCGAGGCCAGGCTGGACCGACAGCCTCCAAAACAGAGAAACCCTGTCTTGTAAAACCAAAAAAACCAAAAAAAAAAAAAAAGAAAAACCTAAAAGATAAAACCTAGACTTGATTATCAAGGATAATTACTTATTCTCCTAATGAAGACATTAAATTCAGAAATGCTTCATGCAACTTTTTTGGGGGGGAGGGATGAGACAGGTTCTCTGTTAACAGCCCTGGCTGCCCTGGAACTCACTCTCTGTAGACCAGGCTGGCCTTGAACTCAAGAGATTCAGCTACCTCATCTCCTCAAGCACTGGGATTAAACACATATATCACTACCACTTGGCAGGAAAGATTTGTTTGTTTTTGAGGCCACGTCTTACTATTAACACTGGATCTCACCATCTAGGACCAAGCTGGCCTTGAACTCTGCTTGCCTCTACCTTCTAAGTGCTGGGTCTGTGCCACAATGTCCTGCTTTGTGCAAATTTCTTAAAGCAACCATCTTTAAAATCTAAAGATGAGCACATTTGTATGTACATAACTACAGGCATCCACATGTGGAAATCAGAGGACAATCTTTTTTTTTTTTTTTTTTGGTTTTTTGAGACAGGGTTTCTCTGTATTATCTTGGAAGCTGTCCTGGAACTTGCTTTTGTAGACCAGGCTGGCCTCGAACTCACAGAGATCCACCTGCCTCTGCCTCCCGAGTGCTGGGATTAAAGGCGTGCGCCACCAACGCCCGGCCAGAGGACAATCTTGAGTGCTAGTCTATCTATATCTAGCCTTCTACCTTGAGATAGGTTCTTTTCTTGTTCACCAATGTCTATGTCAAGCTGGCCTGCCTGTGAACTTTCCAGGGACTGTGTTCACTTTCTTTCTCTCCACAACAGGGCTGAGGTTATAGGTGTGCACTACCAAGTCTGATGACTCTGGCTTTACTTTGGTTATGAGGACCCAACTCTGAAGATACATTTATTTGACTTTACCTGAAAAGATCTGAGGTGGCCAGCCACTTTCACGTATGTTTCTGGAGGAACCACAGTGTTTTCACCACTGGCATCCTAACAGATGAAATATAAACACAATGTTATGTTTTTTATTTACTTTAATTTTTTTCCTCTTTAATTTTTGATAGGGTCTCATGTAACACAGGCTTATCTTTATACTTAATACACATACAAGGATGAATTTGAACTTCTGATTTCTTGCCTCTATCTCCTGAGTACTAGAACACAGGCCTGTGCCACCATGCCCAGTTTATTTGGTACAGGTGACAGAACTCCCAGTTCTTTTGTTACTGTTTGTTTGTCTTAAGGTGTGTGTGACTAGGTCCTCTAAATGCAGTCCAGGTAACCTAAAACTATGTAACTCAGAATGGTCTAGAAGTACAGCAATCTTGAACTAGTTTACTTAATGTCCCCAGCCCCCACATGACTCATCAAATAATACACTCCTCATTTTAAAATTTTATAATGTGAATGCCAGTGAGCTTCAGGCAGATTCTGGCATGATGGAACTTGAGCAACCATTGCTCAGGTCAAATGGAGACATCCATACACTAGACAGTGGAGAAGACCCTAATTTGGGGTCGAGGGCATGTTTGTGTTTTCTTGCAGGAAAAGAATAAAGCTTCGACAACTGTCAGACCATTTAGTGAGATGCATGGAGCAGAGAAAAACTGGACCTGAGACCATGGGAGCCTACCTAAGCCAGTTTGAGTGAGATCTCCTAAATCAATGTTCCTGACCATTGATGTCATCGAATCTACAGCCCAAGAAAGAAAGAAAACAGTCGGTTCGAGATTTCCAGTTTCTCAACAGACCTGCTGCATCAACCTTCCGGACCCATGAGTTTTCATCATGAAGCTAACAGAGAAAAAAGGACCCATTTAAAGCATTTGGACATTGGTATGGACTATGATGAGTGGCAAAAGCCTCTTTTCAGTATTTGAACAGGACATGGTCACTTGATGGTTCCTGTTTCTGGAATCACGACTAGGCCAGTGTATTTTTCTGGAGAAATGCAACTTGTCCTAATGCGACAACTATTGTTCATATTTTTCATAATGCTACATGTGTAACATCAATGATTGTACCTAATGTATCTGTGCAAGTGCACTTTCTAAATGCTTTCCTGAGCAGATCTTAAAACGATTGGAAACTTTATCAAATTGTAAATGTAAATCACATGCGGGTTACCCTTGTAACAGACGAAGGCTGGTAGAATGTTATGGCCCAGATCTGGTGATGGGTATGGTAATGGAGAGGCGCTATGTCAATGGGGGTCCTGGAAATGGTGGCAGTGGCGGTAGGCATTCTGGCTTTATGCCGAGCTCAAACGTGCCTTGTTCCAGAGACAAGAGATCCGTAACCAAGTATTGCTTAGCTTAGCCCATGGCAATCCCGATAGCCATGAAGGTTGGTTACAGATGATTTAAGGTTGGGGTATCTCCGATGACGGGCAACCTGTGGGGAAGACCCCTCCCACCTAAAACGGGTTCAAGGTCCCCCAAAGACGGGGAAGGGAGGGTGACCCTACTTGACCTAAGCCAGGAGTGCCTCATTTGAAAATAAAAAGGGGTGAATTGTGGGAACACCAGACCTTGAGCAGAGACCCACTTCCCCTTCAGCCTGGGAGTAGGCAGCTGTAAGACAATGTTTAGTAAAAACATGTTTACTAAAAACGATACAATAAGTTCCTGGCCACTTCCCCTTCTGCCTGGGAGTAGGCAGCTGTAAGACAATGTTTAGTAAAAACATGTTTACTAAAAATGATACAATAAGTTCCTGGGAAAGGCCTTCCCACGGAAACCGCCCTGACCTCAACCTTGTCCAGAGACTAACCGCACCTTCAAAAACCCACACACATCCACCTCTGGTGTCAGAGCAGAACCAGCCAGGGTAGAGGAGAGAGCAGAAGCTTCTCTGGTGGGAGCCTTTCTTAGGAAGTTTTTCTTGAACCTTTTTGGAGCCTGTTTAAAGTTCTCTTTATATCATTGAACGAGTCTCTGTGTTTTCAATACCCGACACCCTCCGCACGTTCTCGGACACAGGCCGCGCAGCAGACGTGACATTTACTTATTAGAGTATAATAGGCATGAGCCACCACACCAGGCTGGTCAACAGTCTTCAATCACAATCACTTTTTAACATTTATTTTGTTTGTGTGTATGTGTGTTTGTGCTCGCACATGCATGCTTATGTGCCTTGGTGACTGTATGGAAGTCAGAAGACATGGAAGTTTGGAAGTTGGTTTCCTTCTTCTATCACATGCCTTGGCATAAGTGCTGAGCCATCTTTTTGTTTTTTTTTTTTTTTTTGGTTTTACGAGACAGGGTTTCCTTGTATTGTTTTGGAGGCTGTCGGTCCAGCCCAGCCTCGAACTCACAGAGATCCGCCTAAGTGCTAAGCCATTTTACTGTTCCCTGGCCCACACTTCTTTTCCCCTTAAATTTATTTTGTGTTATGATATACCAGTATGTCTGTGTACCTTTGTTCTTGATGCCCATGGAGGCCAGAGGAGGGTGTCAAATCTAGAACTGGAGTTACAAACAGCTGTGAGCTACCATGTGAATGCTGGAAATTGAACTCAGATTCTCTGGAAGAGCAACCAATGCTCTTAACAGCTGAGTCATTACTCCAGCCTACCTGTTTAACACCCTTAAACTAAATCTTAGCGCATATCGTTGTTTCCCTGGAAGTTGATTTGTAAGTCATCTAATTTATTTATTGATTTTTTTTTTTTGAGGCAGGGTTTCTTTGTGTAGCTCTGGCAGTCCTGGAACTTGCTCTGGAGGATCAGCCTGGCCTTGAACTCACAGATCTACTTGCCTCTACTTCCTAAGTGCTGGAATTAAAAAGGCCTGTATCACCATGCCCGGGAAGGCCCATATTTTTTAACAGATGAGTTTAATATAGGTTGAGTTTTGGTAAAGTATACCAGTTTATACTCATACCATCAAGGTTGTACAGTAGCCATTTCCTTATTTAAAAAAAAATGGAGGTAAACCAGGGCCCATTTCCCGGCTGCCTGCTTGTGCTTGGGGTCTGCAACTGCGGCTTCCATCCAGTGGAGGGAGCCAACACACCCCAGCATCCTAGTCTCCTACTCCACCATGGGATAAGGAAGTGGAGAGCTTCCAGAGCACTAGACTTACCTACACCCACCAGAAAGGAACCCTGGTCCCACACCCAGAAGAGGCACCTTCTGGGACCCATTGGAAGAATGGATTGGAAGGAGACAACATAAAAGCACACTGTGCAACAACAACAACAAAAAAAAACAATAAGACACTGCCAGAGTCCAGAGACCCTACACCAGCAAGACCTGAACATCCCAACACAAATGAAGCAGAAGAGAATGACATAAAAAACAACTTCATGAAAATGACAGAGGCCCTCAAAGAGGATATGAGAAAAATCCCTCAGAGATGGAAGAAAAAAACAATCCAAAAATGCAAGAAATGGAAGAAAAAACAAAGCAAAAATCGCAAGAAACAATTCAAACAGTGCAAGGCTGAAATCTGAAATAGAAACAAACAAACAAACAAACAAAAAACACAGTCTGAAGGAATGCTGGAAATAGAATACAAGAGATGGAAGAGAGAATCTCAGGTGTTGAAGATACACTAGGAGAACTAGATTCATCACCAAAGAAAATTTTAAGTCCAACAAATCCCTAACACAAAATATCCAGGAAATATGGGACACTGTGAAAAGACCAAACTTAATAATATGTATGGAAGGTGAAGAGACCCACCTCAAAGGGGCAGAAAATATATTCAACAAAATCATAGAAGAAAACTTTCCCAACCTAAAGAAAGACATGCCAATGAAGGTGTAAGAAGCTTACAGAACACCAAATAGAGTGGACCAAAAAAAAAAAAACAAACCTTCGACACTTAATAATCAAGACCCCAAACATACAAAAGAAATTGAAATAACTCCATGTATCTTATCAGACCAGTCAGAATTCAACAACAACACAAATCGCAGAAACCTTGCAGAATAATGTGCAATTGCACCATTCCTGGGTCAAAGAAGAAATAAAAAAGAAATTAAAGTCTTCCTAGAATTCAATGAGAATGAAGACACAACATACCCAAACTCATGGGACACTTTGAAAGCAGTGCTAAGAGGAAAGTTCATAGCACTAAGTGCGCACATGAAGAAACTAGAGAATAGTCACACTAGAGAATTAACAGCACAACTGAAAGCTCTAGAACAAAAGGAAGCAAACTCACCTCAGAGGAAATAATTAAACTGAAGGCTGAAATCAATAAAGTAGAAACTAGGAAAACAATACAAAGAATCAATGTAAAAAGAGTTGTTTGAGAAAAATCAACAAGATAGACAAACCTTTACCCAAACTTATCAAATGGCAGAGTATGAACATGCAAATTAACAAAATCAGAAATGAAAAGGGATACATAACAATGGACAGTGAGGAAATCCAGAGAATCAGGTCATATTTTGAAAAACTATACTCCACAAAATTTGAAAATTTAAAGGAAATGGACAGTATTTTGGATATATATCACTTGCCAAAATTAAATCAAGAACAGATAAGCAATTTAAATAGACCTATAACACCTAAGAATAGAATTGGTCATCAAAAGTCTCCCAACCAATAAAAGCTCAAGGCCAGATGGTCTGAGTGCAGAATTTTACCAGAAATTCAAAGAGCAAGTTATACTAATTCTTCTCAAAGTATTTCAGGAAATAGAAGCAGAAGGGTCTTTGCCAAACTTTTTTTTTTTTTGGTTTTTCGAGACAGGGTTTCTCTGTATTGTTTTGGAGGCTATCCTGGAACTCGCTCAGTAGACCAGGCTGGCCTCGAACTCACAGAGATCCGCCTGCCTCTGCCTCCCGAGTGCTGGGACTAAAGGCATGCATCAACGCCCGGCCTTTGCCAAACTCTTATTCTATGAGACTTCAATAACCTTTGTACCCAAGCCACACAAAGACACAACTAAGAAGGAGAACTTCAGACCAATATCCCTCATGAACATTAATGCAAAAATAATAAAACACTGGCAAATTGGATCCAAGAACACATAAAAACAATCATCCATCATGATCCAAATAGGTTTCATCCCATGGATGCAGGGATGGTTCAACATATGAAAATCCACCAATGTAATCCACCTGAGAAACAAGCTGAGAAACAAAAATCACATTATCATCTCACTGTATTGAAAAGTCTTTGACAAAATCCAACACCCATTCATGATAAAGGTCTTGGAGAGATGTGGGATAACAGGAACTTACCTAAATACACTAAAAGTTATATACAGCAAACCAATAGCCAACATCAAACTGAATGAAGAGAAACTCAAGGCAATTCCTCTAAAATCAGGAACAAGACAAGGCTTTTTCCCTCGCCCCATACCTCTTCAATATTGTACTCAAAGTTCTAGCTAGAGCAATAAGACAACAAAAGGAGATCAAGGGGATACAAATTGGAAAGGAAGAGGTCAAACTTTCACTATTTGCAGGTATGATAGTTTAAATAAGTGACCCAAAAAACTCTACCAGGGAACTCTTACAGCTGATAAACACCTTCAGCAAAGTGGCAGGATACAAGATCAACTCAAGAAAACCAGTAGCCCTGCTATATACAGACGATAAAAGGGCTGAGAAAGAAATCAGAGAAACATCACCCTTTACAATTGCCACAAACAACATAAAATACCTTAGGGTAATGCTAACCAAACAAGTGAAAGACCTGTATCACAAGAACTTTGAGTCTTTAAAGAAACAAATTAAAGAAGACACCAGAAAATGGAAAGATCTCCCATGCTCTTGAATAAGTAGGATCAATATAGTAAAAATTGCCAAAAGCAATCTACAGACTCAATGCAATCCCCATTAAAATCCCAGCATAATTTTTCACAGACCTTGAAAGAACAATTCTCAACATTATATGGAAAAACAAAAGACCTAGGATAGCCAAGACAACCCTGCTCAACAAAGCAACGTCTGGAGGCATCACCATCCCTGACTTCAAGCTCTATTATAGAGTTATAATCCTGAAAACAGCTTGGTATTGGAACAAAAATAGACAGGTAGACTAATGGAATCAATTGAACACCCTGAGATTAACCCACAAACCTACAAACACCTTATTTTTGACAAAGCAACTAAAATTATACAATGGAAAAAAGGTAGCATCTTCAACAAATGGTGTTGGCATAACTGGATATTGGCATGTAAAAGACTGCAGATAGATCCATGTCTATCACCATGCACAAAACTTAAGTCCAAATGGATCAAAGACCTCAACATAAATCCAGCCACACTGAGCCTCTTAGAAGAGAAAGTGGGAGGTACCTTTGAACGAACTGGTACAGGAGACCACTTCCTGATCATAACACCAGAAGCACAAACACTGAGTTTGACAATTAATGGGGCCTCCTGAAACTGAGAAGCTTCTTTAAGGCAAAGGACACAGTCAACAAGACAAAAAGGCAGCCCACAGAATGAGTTCGAGGCCAGCCTGGTCTACAGAGAGTTCCAGGACAGCTTCCAAAACAATACAGAGAAACCTTGTCTCGAAAAAAAAAAGTGGAGGACTGAACTAAATAGAGAATTCTCAATAGAGGAGTCTAACATGGCTGAGAGACACTTAAGAAAGTGCTCAATGTCTTTAGCCATTAGGGAAATGCAAATTAAAACAACTCTGATATATCATCTTACTCCTGTCAGAATGGCTAAAATCAAAAACACCAATGACAGCTTATGCTGGAGAGGATGTGGAGAAAGGGAAACACTCATCCATTGCTGGTGGGAGTGCAAACTTGTACAGCCACTTTGGAAATCAGTATGGAGATTCCTCAGGAAAATGGGACTCAGTCTACCACAAGACCCAGCAATTCCACTCTTAGGCATATATCCAAAAGATGCCCATTCATACAACATGGATGTCTGTTCCACTATGTTCATAGCAGCATTATTTGTAATAGCCAGATCCTGGAAGCAACCTAGATGCCCCACAACTGAAGAGTGGATAGAGAAAATGTGGTACATTTACACAATGGAGTACTACTCAGCAGAAAAAAAACAAGATTGAAATTTGCTGGCAAATGGATGGAAACCATCCTGAGTGAGGTAACCCAGTCACAAAAAGACAAACATGGTATGTACTCCCTCATATATGGATTTTAGACATGGATCAGGAGAGTGTCAGCCTACAATCCCATTGCCAGTGAGTCTGGGAAACAGGGAGGTTCCCAAGAGAGATATGCACGATAACCCAGAGAAGTGGAATGAGGCAAGATCTCCTGAGCAGATTGGGAACAGTGGGGGAGGAGAGAGGGAACAGGAAAAAGAGGGGAAGAGGAGGGCAGAGGAAGACATGGGGGAGCAGGAAGGTTGAGTGGGGTAAGAATAGAGTAGAGCAGGATGAGAGATACCTTAATAGATGGAGTCATTATAGGTTTGAGGAGAGAGCTGACACTAGTGAGATTTCCAGTGATCTACAAGGATAACACCAACTGGCAAACTAAGCAATAGCAGGAAGACTCCTTTAATAGCCCCTCCCTGACGATAAGATTGATGACTACCTTATATGCCATCCTAGAACCTTCATCTAGTGACTGATGGAAGCAGAGGCAGATACCCTCAGCTAAACACTGAACTCCTGGACCCCAGTGACAAAAATGAAGAATGATGAGCAAAGGGGTCAAGACCGTGCTGGTGAAACCCACAAAGACAGCTAACCGGACAAGGGGGAGCTCTTGAACCCCAGACTGATGGCTGAGAGGCCAGCAGAGGACTGATACAGACTCCCTGAATATAGTTTCAGTGAGGAGGCCTCAGCTATCTCTGGGGCCTTGGGGCCTTAGATTAGTGTTTACCATGGCATACGAATGAACTTTGGGAGCTCATTTCACATGGAGGGATGCTCTCTCAGCCTGGACACATGGGGAAGGGCCTAGGTCTCTGGAGTTTCCCCCCATGGAGTGCCTCACCCTCCCTGGGGAATGGTGTGGGGTTTGGGAGGCCTGGTGGAGGGGCAAGGGAGGAGGGGTAGGAGAGGGAGCTAGGATTGACATGTATGGCAAGCATGCTTCTAATTTAAATAAAAACATATATATTAAAAAATGAAACAAGTCAACAATGATTATTTTCTAGATGTCACAAACACTGAGCTAGGGTTACTCACACCCAAATTAGAAACTGTCATTCATTTTTTTTTTGTTTGTTTGTTTTACGAGACAGGGTTTCTCTGTATTGTTTTGGAGGCTGTCGGTCCAGCCCGGCCTCAGAGAGATCCGCCTGCCTCTGCCTCCCGAGTGCTGGGATTAAAGGCTTACGCCACCACCACCCGGCTTCATTTTTAATGCTTACTAAGTCTGACCCGTAGCGTTAATGGCATTTTTATGTGGTCTTTTATAAATGACCTGTGTATCTTTCTTTGCTCATTTTTCTAAGGTTTAGCTACTTGTTTTTACTTTGCAGAACTTTTTTATTAAACTGTTTTAATATGTCCCAGTATACTTCCATTCATTTAAACAGTATTAGTTCAAGACCCACTGCCTGATAGACATTATTCTAAGGTGTTGAGAACAATAATGACCAAAAGAAAATTTTTTTTCTCAAAGAACTTAGTTTCTACTGTTTTATGTCACTTGCTTTTAAATCTTATAGTATTTTATATGGTTTTGAATCTTTATGTGGTCAAATCTATTAAGTTCTCATTTTTTGGATTTTTACCTTTGGCTATCTGGCTTATGTAGTTGTATACTAAGAAAATCCTTCCAAAAGTTTAAACTGAAAGAGATGAACATCCAAAGTTCCAAAGTAATCCCAGCTTGATAAAGACACTTACATCTGTGTCAACCCACTGTCGAACATCCATGGGTGCAGCAGTCATATCATCTATTTTGTAAACGATATTAGTCGGAGCCTTCTCTGCATGTCTGATTATTCCCACAATAGTGACCTAGATTAGAAAAAGAAAACAAAAAGGTCTGATGTTCCTGGAAACCACAGCAAGATGTACATATAAGCACAAACAATTAGAAAAAATTTTCTTTGAGAAAGAATCTGACTATGTAGTCCTGCTGGGCTTAGAACTTGTTTCAAAGATCTGACTGGCCTCACATTCGTGGTAATTCGCCTGCCTGCCTTGTGAGTGCTGATTAATATTAATAGGTGTGAGCCACCACAACACAACCCAAAAATTTACCCATTTTTATTTATTTATCCAAGTGAACAAGCCTTATAATATTAAGATATGCTACATTTGTTAGTGATGTAAAGATGTGTAAAATCCCAGAGGCAAAAGATTGACGGAATAATTTAAGAAAAGTTGGCAGCAGGGCAATGGTGGAGCATAAGACTTTAATCCCATCACTTGAGAGGCAGAAACAGGCAGATCTCTGTGAGTTCGAGACCATCCTGGTCTACAAGAGCTAGTTCCAGGACAGCTTCCAAAGCCAGAGAAATCCTGTCTCGAAAAAACAAAACAAAAAAAAAAACAAAACAAAACAAAAACAAAAAAGTTGACTAGAAACAGGTTCAAGCTAAGAAGGGGCATCCATAAGTAATAAGAAGTCTCTGAGTATTACTTATTTGGGAGCTAGGTGGCAGGCACTCCAAAGAACCAAAAGGGGAAAAAAAAAATTGGGAGGGAAAAGTGGGAGGGGAGTGAGCTTGGTGGCTCAAGCCTTTAATCCCAGCACTGGGGAGGCAAACAAGAGTTGGAGACCAGCCTGGTCTACAAAGTGAGTTCCAGGACAGCCAGGGCTATTACACAGATGAAACCCTGTCTTGAAAAAAAGCAAAAACAAAAAACAAAAAACCTTTTAGCCAGGTGGTGGTGGGGCACTCAGGAGGCAGAGGCAGCCTGGTCTACAAAGCCAGTTCTAGGACAGGCTCCAAAGCTACAGAGAAATCCTGTCTCGAAAAACCAAAAAAACTTTTTAGAAAAAGTAGTTATTACCATTGTGCCATGATGCAGATGTCAGAGAACATGTTAGGGGAATGGCCCTTTTCCGAAGTAGGATCTGGAGACTGAACTGAGTACATCTGGCTGTGCAAAAAGCCCAAGCACTTTAATCCAGAGCATTTTATTGGCTTGACTGTATACTTTCAAATTGAGCAAGTCTTATTTCTTTGTATTTTTGTTGTTGTTGTTTTTTTTTTAAGACATGGTTTCTGTGTAACAGCTCTTGCTATCCTGGAACTTGATTTTCAGACCAGGTTGACCTCAAAATCAGAGACCTGCCTGCCTCTCCCTCCTGAGTTCTGGGATTAAAAGTGTGCACCATCACTGCCCATCCTCCCCACCCCTCCCCACCCCCGTTTTTTGGTGAATGCATGTGAGTACAAGCGAGTGGACAACTGTGCCACACCCTTGCAAAGGCTTGAGGACATTGGGTGTTCAGGTCTAGCACTGTTGGCTTTCTTCCCTTCCTTGAGAAGGGTCTCCTCATTAAAACTAGAGCCAGCCAGAGGCTGCTCTTCCAAAGGTCCTGAGTTCAAATACCAGCAACCACATAGTGGCCTACAACCATCTATAATGAGATCTGGTGCCCTCTTCTGACCTGCAGGGATACATACAGGCAAAACACTGTATACATAATAAATCTTCAAAAAAGAAAAAAGGGGGAAAAAAAACTAGAGCCCAGGGATCCCATCCCCGTTTCTGTCAGTTATGACCCCCTACAAGCCTGGCTTTCTACATGGATCCTGGGATGTGATCTCTAGTTCTCATGCTTGGACAGTCATTTTTCCAACCCCTCCTTATCACTAAGCATTTCTTCCAAACAATCTTAAATACCTGTGAAATCTCAACATTCCCAATTTTGAACACTTCATCAGTCAGAGTAGCTGAGAGCAGCTGAGATATGGTACAGGGCACAATGTGCTGGGATCGGACTCTCTGAAAAGGAAAAGCATGCATAGCATAAAGTCAACCCTAGACATAACACGGCTCATTTCATATTTGCTATGTACCAAGCATTTAAACAAACAACACAGAATATTCAAAAGCAAGTTCTCCTTACTTCTGAGATAGAAAACAAGGCCAGAAAATTAAGATAGCACATATGATTCCCCTGCCTTTGCCACCTAAGTGCTAAGATTCAAAGTGTGTGCCATTACACATGGCAAATGCCACCCCTTTAAAATTCAAATCCACTGACTGATGCCAGAACTCCAGATATTTGTATTATAGTGTGGGAGCTCAGAAACATTTAACACCACACACACACACACACACACACACACACACACACACACACACACACACACACAGAGTAAACAATCACTACAGATAAAAGGCAAATACTCGGGCTGGAGAAATGGCTCAATGGGTTAAGAGCAGTGACTGAGCTGGGCGTTGGTGGCGCACGCCTTTAATCCCAGCACTCGGGAGGCAGAGGCAGGCGGATCTCTGTGAGTTCGAGGCCAGTCTGGTCTACAGAGCGAGTTCCAGGACAGCCTCCAAAGCCACAGAGAAACCCTGTCTCGAAAAACCAAAAAAAAAAAAAAAAAAAAAGAGCAGTGACTGTTCTTCCAGAGAACCTGGGTTCAAATCCCAGCACCCACGTGACAGCTCATAGCTATCTATAACTTCAAGATCTGACACTCTTACACAGACACACATGCAGGCAAAACACTGATGCACATAAAACGATAAAAATAAATAATTTTTTAAAAAGGGCAAATACTCAGCGGCAGGATCTACCTGCCGCTACACTCCCAGTTAAGATGAGCCTGGTAGCATACACTTTAATCCCAGCACCAGAGTCAGAAGCAGGGAATCTCTGAATTCCAGGTCAGCCAGGGCTACACTGTGAGCCTGTCTCAAAAAAACAAAAACAAAAACAAAAACACAAAAAAACCCCAAAAACAAACCCCCAAAACTCTTCAGTCTCATACAAGGAATATGTACAAGGCAGCCAAAGCACAGCAGATTATAGACAGTGTTCTTCCTGTTAAATATGAACAGGAAATAACCCAAAATCTGTTCTGAACACCACAGCAGGCTCTTGCCCTTCCGGGATTTGGTAGTCCCAACTGTGGCCTGAGGGACCCTGAACTCTGCTAAAGCATACTTTGCAGCCGTGTGGTGGCGGCGCTTTAATCCCAGTACTCGGCAGGCAGTGACAGAAGGACAGGTCTACAGAGCCGGAGCCAGGACAGCCAAGGCTACACAGAAAAACGCTGCCTCGAAAAAAGATGGAAAAAAAAAGCACTTTCGAGTAGTACGCGCAGGAGCGTGGAGGCCCGGCAAGCACACTTGCCACACAATTTAGACTTTTTTTTAAGAACGCGCTTCACCGTGCTGGAGACAGGCTGGATAACGGCCAGCTTGTGAACAAGCTCGAGTGTGCCACCCTCCCCCACGGAAACACATTCTCCCACGGCGCTGCCAGGAACTTCAGCACAGGGGGAGCAAACGGAAACGGGGCAGTCACTCCACGTACCGACTTCTTCTCTGCCTGCGACGGTGTGGGCGACCCGAAGCTGCCGGGGGACTGCGTGTAGCCGCCCGCTCCGCCATAGCTGGAGCCGCCGAAGCTGTCGAATCCGCCTGGTGGCGAACGAGGTATGAGCGTCTGCGCGACCACCCGCGGGCTCCCTCGCACGGGGTCCCGCGCCGCGGCCACACCACCCGCCGTCCCCCACCCCTCGACCGTCGCCGCCCCGGCCTCGGGCGTCTCGGCGGCTCTGCCCCCTCCACGCGAGACTCGCCCGCGCCGGACACCCTCGCGCGACTCGCGGCCTCCTCCCCCGCGCGCCCGCCATTACTATTCCACATCCTGGTCGCTGTTTTCCAGAGAGAGAGGCCCAAGGAACCGCACTCCGGACGGCTGGACGAACACCTCAGAGCTGTTGGGCGCTCCGGCGTGGCGGTGTTGTACCTACTTTACACTGGCGCCACAAACTCCTTCCCGCGAAGGGCGAGCCAATCAGCCCCCAAGACACATCTCCTTTCAGCCAATCAGAACCCACGACTCTTCCGCTTTCTCCGGTATCAGAGCCACACTTCAGAAAAACGCACGGCCCCAAGAAGGGACTGAAGCCTGAGCGGCCACCATTACTGAGGGCAAAACTCCGATAGGACGGTCTTTCAAGAAGGCAACCAATCAAAACAACACTTCCGGGGCGTATAAAAACCGCCCTTATCACGTGGCGCTACCGCTTACGCCATTTCCTATATTTGTTAACCTGCTATTCCCGCCGTTTTCCCGAGATGCTGACTTTAGATGCTGTGGTGTAAGTCATGCTTTCGACGTTGGCGCTCCGTTGTGACACGCAATATGCACATCTCCGAAATTCACAGTACTAGTGTTGGGAAAAGGGGCCAGTCAAAGAAAACACACCCTGAGCAGAGCCAAAGAAACACACTTTGGCCCTGCAACCAGAACCAAAGAAATGTACCCTGACCCTGAAACCAGTGCCAAAGGAACACACTTTGTCCCTGGAATCAGAGTCAGTGAAAGAAATACACCCTGGCCCTAAAATTAGAACCAAAAGGCTAAAAAGGACCAGAGAAAGAAACACACTTTGGCCCTAAAACCAAAGCCAAATCTGACCTTAATCCTGTGCAGAAAACTAACCAATCCTCGAGCAGAGCTCTAGCCAATCTGAGCTCAGCATTAAAATCTGACCAATCCCCACCCTGGAAGCCCTATATAAACCCTGTGTATGTTCAACTTGTGGCTATTCCTGCTACAGGGCTGTCCTCTGCCACTCTCCTGGATTCTTCCCTCCCAATAAACCCCTTGGATGAGCCTTGGGTGAAGACTTTATTTTGTGGCAGAGCAGAAAGGACCCTTGGCAGAGCAAGCAGGGCTGCAACACTTTTGCTGGGGAAACCTTCCCCTGGCAGAGCAGAGTTGTTCGGCTCTCCACTCCAGGAGCTGAGCTGAACTGTAGCAACTTCGCCCAGGAAATTTCCCCCTGCCTGAGCAAAACTGCTACACTGGGCTAACATCCCCAGCTCAAAAACTGCTACACTGGGCTAACATCCCCAGCTCAAAGACCATGTCCTGCCAGAGCAGAGCTGATACACTGGAGAAGCCTTTCCCTGAAGCAGGTCTGTAAGCTGCTATGCTTACTGTGACCTGTGATATTCCTTGGGTCCTGATTGTCAAAATATCCTTCCATCCGAGCTGTAACACTCAGTATTCTGTGGCTCCCAAGTGCCAGAATCCTTGTCCATCCGATACGTTGTAATGCACAGTTTTCTATAACAAATGAAAACCGTGCTAGAGAGATGGCTCGGGGTGGAGATCGGTGTGCGGAACATGTCAAATTTTAGAAAATGGGTCAAGACCTGGTAAATTTTAAGTTTTACAGAAAACAAGAATAGCCCCTAATGTTAAAATGGAGTCAGGCCAAGAGTTATCCCCTGTGTGCTCGCGCTCACGCGTATACACACACACACACACACACACACACACACACTTATAGCCAGGGGTATACACATACATGAGTGTGTTTTAAAAGAAAGAAATCTAAACTGGGTGGTGATGGCACATGCCTCTGTTCCTAGGCAGAGGCAGGTAGATCTCTGAGTTCAAAGCCAGCCTGGTCACAGAGAAACCCTGTCTTGAAAAAAGCAAAACAAATAAAAAAGACGAAAAAAGAAACCTCATGGTCACATTTAAAAAGATCCAGAGATGTCCTTCCTTTTCTCCTCTCCCCAACTCTGTGTCCCTCCCGATCTAATCGGGGTTCATCCTTCCCTGAACAGCTATTTGTCATATGAATCACACACCTTGGTCTAAAACCTGCTAGACAGACTTTTTGTTTATTTTCCTAAAAATTATGTGTCCCTGTGTGTATGTGCATGAGTTCAGGTGCCTTCAGAGTCAGTAGTTACAGGCAGTCCTCCTCAGGCAGCTACCATGTTGATTCTGCAACTCTAACGTAGATCTGCAAGAGCATCATGCTCTCCTAAACCCTGAGTCATCCATCCAGCCTATTTGTTCACTTGTTCATAAAAGTGTTTATTGGACTGGGCATTGGTGGCGCACGCCTTTAATCCCAGCACTCAGGAGGCAGAGGCAGGCAGATCTCTGTGAGTTCGAGGCCAGCCTGGTCTACAAGAGCTAGTTCCAGGACAGCCTCTAAAACCTCAGAGAAAACCTGTCTTGAAAAACAAAAAACAAACAAAAAAAACCCAAACAAACAAAAGTGCTTATTGGGAGCTTGGTGGTTTTAATCCCAGCATTTGAGAGGCAGAGGCAGGCAGACCTCTGTGAGATGGAGACCAGCCTGGGCTACAGAGTGAGTTCCAGGACAGCCAGGACTGTTACACAGAGAAACCCTGTCTCATAAAGAAGAAGAGGAGGAGGAGGAGGAGGAGGAAGAAGAAGAAGAAAAGAAAAATATTTATTGGGCAGAAGAGATAAACAGTGCTTGAGGAGCAAGCCTGACAACTTGAGTTCTAAACGCTGAACACACAGAAAGCTGGATGCAATGGCACATCTGTAATCCCAGTACTCCTGTGGCAAGACAGGAGGCTGAAATAGAAGCTTCAGTGCTCGATAGCCTGGAACACACTGAACTGCAGAATCAGTGAGAGACTCTGCCTCAGTAACTCCCAACTCATGAAAGTTGTCCTGTCTTCCACATGCACACCACGCCTCACACTATTGAAAAATAAATGTAATTTTAAAACATTATACATAGCTGGACAGTGGTGGCGCACACCTCTAATCTCAGCACTCAGGAGGCAGAGGCAGGTGGATCTGAGTTCGAGGCCAGCCTGGACTCTAGAATGAGTTCCAGGACAGCCAGGGATGTTATACAGAGAAACCCTATCTTGAAAAAGCAAAAAGGAGGGGGGAGGAGGAAAAACACACATGCACTTTAGAAGAGAGGGTCTCAATATGTAATTGTGGCTGGGTTGGAATTCCCCATTTAGACCAGGTTAGCCCTAAGCTCACAGGCCTGCCTGCCTCTGAGCCCCATGTGCTGAGATGAAAAGCATGCAACACCATGCTCTGCTAAAAGCTACACTTTTTGAGGTATAATTCAGAAAAATAGGCAGAAAGCAGGGAAGGTCTGTGAGCCACTGCTGAAAATATATATATTTATTCTTTAAAAACAGTAACAATCAAACCTATTATTTAAGTCAGACATAGTGGAGCACACCTTTAATCTCAGCACTTGGGAGGCAGAGGCAGGTGACTCTCAGTGAGTTCAAGACCAGCTTGGTCTACCAAGTGAGTTTCAAGACAGTCAGTCTTATGTAAAGAGACCCTGTCTCAAATAAATAAATAAATAAATAAATAAATAAACAAACAAACAAATCTTGTTTTTTGTGTATGAGTGTGCCTGATGCCCACAGTGGCCAGAAGAGGGCATCAAATTCCCTGGGATTGGGGTTACAGACAGTTGGAAGCTATCATGTGGGTGTGGGAATTGAATCCAAGTCCTACGGAAGGGCAGCCAATACTTTCAACTGTGGGGCCATCTCTGAGTCTCCCTAACAATTATTTTATGACCCTTTTAATGACTTCTGTGCTCTAAGATCTCTGGCATCTCCTCCCTATGACCTAGAGGAAAAAGTTCAAGATCCTGATAGCAGCGTCCCAACTAGCAACATGGCAGTCACAACTTTATGTGCAGTTGTGTGAGTCAGCCTTTGCGAAGCCTACTTCTCTCCCTAAACAGCTGGTGGTCACAGTTTCCCCTGCACCTGCCGGCAGGGTGTCTGGCCCACAGAGGCAGCTAACTGAATGTTTAATAAGTGAGAGAGTGGATGAAGAGCTTCACAAATGAGTGCAGAAGGGCGCTTCTGTACCTGCGCCAGATAATAGCTCCTGAAGATTCACTCCCGACCTCTTCATTCCTCACCTTCTTGGACTAAGCTCTCTGTGAACTTGAACCCCAGATCTACCTGAAATGCAGGCTGGTCTCCCAGGGGCTCAGAGGCCAGTGTGGTCAAAGGTCACTGGCACTAGAGGGCTGCCTTGTACCCACTCCCACAAGGACCTAGCCACATAAAGGTGCTTGCCTTTACGTGCAGTTAGGGTCTGGGGCTGCAAAGGAGGGTAGGAAATGACCCTGCAGAGTACTTGGCTTCTGGCTGCTGCTTTCTTGTTTGAGACAGGCTCACACTGTGGCACAGGCCAGTCTGGAACTCAGACATTTTAGCCCAGGCTATCTCTAAATTCACAGCCATCCTCATGCTGTAGACTCCCAGAGGTAGGTACGAGCTGCCGTATCTTACTCTTTTGTCCACTCACCCCGGCATGCTTTTTTCCCCTATAGAGTGATGGGGATTGTGGGAATTACAGTTGCTAAGAGTCATGCACACACCTGTGGGGTCGTTTGAAGAAGGGATGCTGAAAAAGAGGTAAAACCGCAGTAAGAGCCTGGGCCTCAAGGAAAGCTGACGCGTCGCTCCCTTCAGAATGAACTTATGAAAGGGCCTCGAGGCCATGATGCTGTGAGGTGGAGCAGAGAGCATGAGACAGAAACAACACAACGTGGGGATCTAAGCCCCATGTGACCGTAAGGAAGGACAGGCTTCCCTCTACCTGGAGAGGAGCGTTATTAAGAGTCAGAATGAGCCGGGCGTTGGTGGCGCACGCCTTTAATCCCAGCACTCGGGAGGCAGAGGCAGGTGGGTCTCTGTGAGTTGGAGGCCAGCCTGGCTCAGAAAGAGAGAGAGAGAGAGAGAGAGAGAGAGAGAGAGAGAGAGAGAGAGAGAGAGAGAGAGAGAGAGAGAGAGAGGAGGCATTATGAGGGAGATGGGGGCAGCAGAAGAGGCTCTTTACCGTGAATACTCATCTTCAGACCAAACCCCTGAAAGATCTTAGAATGATCCCCAGAACAAAAGAAAGGTCTGATTTTGAAAAACCTTTTAGGGGTGGTGGGATATTTCATATCACTTCATTTACTTCAGAATAGCTCATGTGACGGGGGCATGGAGGAGAGCTGAGATG